GGGTACATATACACAGACTGCGTGGCTATAAAGCCAAGCTTGCGAACCTCACGCCTTTCGTAGCAGTCTTTGAGGAGATTTGTGAGCCAAAAGTTGTGGGGAACTTTCTTGTGAAGGTTGATCAAGAAAAAATATTTATCCTTCTTAGTTAGGAAAGTTAGACTTACAAAATTACACCTGGCTTGATGGCAATAAAATATGTAATTGCAGAAGAAACGGTTTACCGAAATTGCTTACACCCGATTAACTTAAAGGATCACTTAAAAAACTGAATCAGAATTAATATGTTTCCTCATAATTTTATATGTCAGTCAATTTGGACAGAGACACATTATGTTCTACATATCTATATCGAACGTATTCGCAGTTGACATCTTTACTTAGTCCTGTACATTTCACCCTATTATGCCGACGTTCTTAAATGCCTAACATGGAACCGTTAAAAGTACAATTCATGCATACACCACACAAAAAGCCCTTTCATTGCTATTATATATAGACAATTTAGACAATTATATAGTCTAAATTGAAGCAATTAACTAGCAGTTTCATAGGAAGTAGAAGTCACGACCTTTTGGAAATATATTTGGACAGCTGCCATTTCTGCTCGTTTAAAAATCCATTGTTATTATGTGATTGAGAGTAATGACGACAAGATATTACCACTGAGCGTTGGTTTTCAAGACCGATGATGTTTTTCCTAAAGCAAGCTCAATCGGTTTCCAATGACAAGGTTTTAGAAGATTGGAGTATTTACCAGCCAATCTTCATCTGCTGGCGTCACGTACCTCAAAAATGATTCAATTTTGAAGTCCACCAAACCGGCTTGTAACAGCCTAATAATATTTCATTGCGAAAGTATATTCTTTCTTCGGTACTTCTCGACATTTAACGATTTTTGAGACCGTTGATAAAGTGTTACATCGAAAAACGTCTTTTTCTTCAGTTAGCTAGCATATATATTTTCGTCTCGTTCTAATACCTGTTTTTTGTTTTATCTGTGTTAGTACAATGCTTTGTAAAGCTTGCCGCTCTCTTCCATGACTGCTCGTCTGTTAATATTGCAACTATTATACGCATGAGTGCTAGCCGCATTGGTTTGCTATCTTCCTTAAACGCCGGACAAGATTTGAATATACGCTGGGACATGCACTAATACGACACCGATATTTTTCGAAGTTCTGATGGCGTGTAGGCAGCTGGGTTAGTGAGTTCGTTAACGACTCGTGTCCGCATTCGTACCATACACCTAAATTAGGAATCAGAACTTCATACAAAACCGTAGTTATCTGGGCACCTGCAATTAATTTAACTGCGGCTCCTTCACAAGAAGGTTTATTGGCGGACATGAATCCGCTTGTCCTTCAATTCCCGGGTCATACGAAGTTTTCAGCGACTGAACTGGGTGGAAGCCGTGGCTGCACTGCAGTTTTCTCTTCGGACGCTGAGGGTCATTGTGCGCGTTGATTTTGTTATTATTGATTTTTTTTAGATAGAGGCAGTATATAGCATAATGCTACCACTTGAGGCTACCTTAGTCCTTCGGAGCAGGAATCAAAAGTAGGACGCTGTTTAGATCGCGTACTGAATGTTTGTTGTGTCATTGCCACTTTGGTATCGCGAAAAACCAAATCTTTGCACTTTGTAAGCCGCCTCGCCGTGGATCGCCCATGTCTCGCTTAGGTATGACCCTATAATCCTCCGTAGATATGATGAGATATCGAATGATCTTAAGAAGTCATTTATCACTTCCTAGGTTACCAAGTTGAATACATTTTTAACGCCCAGAAGGACCGTAAGACAGCATTTTCTAAACTGAGGGGCATAAGCTATTCTGCAGAAAACCGACTGCTTTTCTGCATTTTCGAGGACTTTCATAATAACCGTGTGTGTAGAGTGTTTTTTTTGACATCATGCTGGTTGCCTAAAGATGCGTTTCTTTTGTCCTGCTCCCTTACTGGCCTGTGGTGAATTTTGTGCTTCGCGACATATGACAGCACTGGAAGCATGCTTATTCGTTGGTAAGTCAATAGATTCTCTTGTGATGTTCCGGTTTCGGGATACTTGAAAAGGGGAACGTACTAAAAAACATGCCGATGAGCCACCATGATGGCCCCGCCCCGCTTTCATTTGTTTGGCGTCCCCGACAAGACATTAAAAAATAACTGTATTGCGACTGGGTTTTTTATTCATTGATTTTTATAATATAGTACCCTTAGCCATTAATTCTGAATGAACAGTCGTCTGAGTTACCTTTTTGTAAATATATTCAAGGACTTGACCCATTAGGAATTCAGCCGTCATGAGTCTTGCCGGGCTTTTTTAGAATTTTTCTAACGGATCTATAAGGCAGCATGCCAACCATACAAGCAGATAACAACTTAAATAGTAACTCTTTATTTTGCATTAGTTCCTTGTTTCCATGGTTATCAATTTCTGATAAGCACTTTTATTAACGCCAAGATTTAAACCAACGCGACTGGATGATTGTTATTTAGTGATCCTATGCTGCAACTAGCTGACCGGAACCTAAAGAGCAAAATTTTCGATGTGTAGCATCTCAGGCCTTCTAATTCGACGACCCCTCACGTGTATACACGTCGCAAGACCGATAATCTAGTGCAAAGGTTCTCAATGGAGATGTGTTTGTTTTTTTGTCTTGGTCATGGATATGGTGCCGAGAAGGCGAAACTTCGATAAAAGATAATAACTTTCGTTCTAAGCGGCCGATGGTGATAATCGACGTGTTTTGATGGTCTCTGCGAGACAGGCCCCAGATCACTCGATTAGTCAAGCAACTGTTGTTCTAATCTAACGAGATATCCTGAATTGCTAGTACAAAGTTTCGCATGTACAATTTCAATACAGAATCATTGTCGGAACTTGCACTATTTCTCCGCTATTCAGATCGCACTATGTTTAGCAATGAACCCTTTGAGTCCCACATTTTACCTCAACCAACTAACTACTACTATATCGTAAACATTTATGTTTAAAGTTCTACACGTGGTACTTTTTAGTAGAATGTTTAAAGTAGAGTACTTGTTTAATACGAAAACAGAATTAGTTCGTATAACTCATCAAGGTTCTTGCCTATGACATTGAACCTATTACGCGCACAACCTCGTTTGTAGCAAGCATTATCTACAAAAGCCGTAAGATCAGTAAGATTACGTTTGACCCAAGTCATGGTTTTGCATTCCAATGTCCCAATAGACAACGACTTACAAAGATTACAAGAGCTTCAACTCAACAATTGTGAGCTTCGTTTCTATTCATTCTCGACTACATGCCACCCTAAAATGAAACAAACAGCTAAATTGACTGGATCAAGCGAGACAATGGCCTGAGAGGCCAAATTTGACCAAAGAGATCAAGAATAGTTTTTTCATGGTTCGAACAAACCAAACAATACCCGCAGGGTTGCCTGGCTATATGAGATTTGAATATCTATTGATATAACACGCATTGTTTATGTTACATTGTTCTTATTCGTATGCATGCTTTTTTGTACCAGCATATACCATGGTTTCAATATTAATATTCAAGAACAGACACGTTCGAAAAGACGTTATTGAATTTGTGCGCGAAATATTAATAAATGAACTTAGAGCACTGTCCTGTAGATACACAAAAGTTTGAACTTCACATAATAACAGACGTTTATTAATGCGAACGCGCGAAATTCAAAAATGTACAACGACAAAATCTACTTCAACAGGCCAGAGTCAGCGCTCCGTAGTTTGATGTTGAGCCTCTTTGTGCGTAACGATTTTTAACCAAATCGAAACAAAAGACATCGAAGAGTTAAACGATCAGCGGGGAATGCCCCACAGTTTTGCCAACCGAGAAGTTTAGACTTCGCAGATCCTCGAGCCACTAGGCACATTTTCCCTCAAGGCCATATCATTTTTTTCTTCTCGTAAATGGCTGTGATGATGAGTCCTTCCATTCAGGTAGTGGCTTATTAATCTTTTAGACTTCAAATATAGAGCTCTTTTTTACTACGCTATTACTTCGCCAAACTAGGTCTTTAGGCTCAAAATTACTGAAACTGGTATGAATATGAAGAACGCTAACGCTGTGGCTGTTATTTTATTGGAAATTTTAAAATATTAAGTTCCCCTAAATGACTGACCTTATTTAGAGATTTGACGTTGTTTCACATGATCAGAGAAAATCCAGGGTGACTTCATTCCGCTTGACATCCTGATTTCTTAAATCTGTTATGCGAAAATATTTTTTTAATTTCACTCAGTTTGTTTTCACTGCGAGCAAAGCGTTTGTGATTCAACTTTGTCGATTGGTTTATTCATAAACATAAGCTGCGTTCGAAACATCATCTTTTAACATTTCCTAGTAATTTTTTCTTCGAAGAAGATTCTCCTAGAGTCTTCGACGGGACTTCCAGAAGTTCTACTTTGTCACATTCAAAAAACATTTGAGCTTCTCTAATATTCATTAGATAGATTTTGCTTTGATAAATCATACTTTTGAGTCGCTCAAAATTCAAAGCGATATTTTGTTTCTATAATAATATCGTAACTACGCCTCTGGCAAATGATGTAAATCCTCTATGGGAGACTCATTTACTTATCACAACTGACATGTCTTAATTATTGGAAATAAGTGCAGCATGAATAAGCCCATTTATGACTCCGTTACCTTATGACGTTTTAGACGTCGTTAAGCGTACTACAAAAAGTACATAACAGACACCATAAATCTTGCCAGCTGTTCACCCTCCAGTCACAAGTTTGGTCCTTGTTTTTCTAAGTTTAACAAAACAAGTTTTTTTCAAACTTTAAAGAGAACTCATAGGGATGCTTGCACGAGTATCGACGAGTGACCAGGACAACGCAAAGCTCGAACATACAGACACATGCTGTATATGCACATATTATTTCATTGGTCTCCCATTACGCCTTTATATCAGTTCCATGAGAAAGAATCTGCATCGAACTATGAAGGACTACGCAGCATTCATGCAACAATTCGAATCCAGGCCACGTTTTATTATGATAATTATTATTCAAGATGACAAATAAAATTACGATTCAGCAAAAACTGTTAAGTGATCTGATATAATGGATTCGTGGTCGGCGTCCTGCAATTCTTCCTCTTCCTCGGCGTAGTCGGCTGGTTTGAATACGCCTTCTTGTATGTGAAGCCCTTCCAAATCCACGCTCGGCCATGACGTACCGCTCCTAACTCATTCAAATTTGACAGGTTAGATTGTTTTTATAGGGTGCAAATAGGCGAGTCTATACGTCTTTTTGTCTAGGTAAAGCCGCTACAGCATTAATTGTAAAAACCAGAAGAAAACTTCATTCAAATCAACTTCAAAAGTGGGGATTTCGAAATTCAAATATGAGTGAAACAAATGCTCAATAAGCAAACCTAGTAATTCGGTCGCAATGTTGCATCTTTTTTTTGCATTCTGCTAAGCATGAAAACTTCCTTCTTGGGTCAACAACCTATCTTAGTGCCTACATATTCTATACATATCCTGTACCGAGTCGTTCCTCTAGTAAACTTTCTCAGATATAGGCGCATTTGTATTTCGAGATAACAACTTACACAGATATTTTAGCAGCCATTCTTTCGCTTAGGGCGCGCAAGAAAGACGCCAAGGGCGTCAGCACGTGAAAATATAAACCCAACAAAAACAAATGAGTAGTCACCAATAAGACCATTCGAACGCTTTCAGGTATAGGCTCAAGATGGCTACGGGCTATCTGAAGCCACCGCGCTTCCGGTACGGTGAAGTGCTGTTCTGATTGAAGTGGTTTTTTCATATTCGATAATTTGCGTAACGCTTTCTAGATAGTGTGTATTAATCGATTGGATTCCGTATGATAAAAAATTTACCATCACCACACAGAACTATATTAATATGATTGCAAATTCTCTACAATCAAAAAAGCATCAGATTCCTTCTTAAAGCCTTTCTACTTCGTTATTTATTAGGATTCATAATGCAAACAGAATCCCCCACTATAGGGACAGAAGCTTTCCTATTTTCATGTAACACATCGTTATCGTATTATGTACGCTATAAACGAACTGCCTGCAAATTTCGAAACCTGCTAACATTCAGCATCGTCATTTGATAAAGTTGCCCTCTTGAAAGATTTCACTCAGAGCTGCCGATAAACCAGCAACAACAATACTCTTTCTCTGGTATCGTACCTGCGATTTATCTTAATTATGCTCGTTTCGGAGTAAACAACTAGCTAACCTAGCTGCTATACATTTCGAAGTTTTCCCTAAGACCTATTCGAGAAAATTCGAGTGTAAGATGTCCAAATCAAAAGAGTCAAGAGAGACCACCTAAACAATTAACTCCTTATATTAATTGAAGTTTTGCTAAAAATTAAGTTAATGCCTTAATTAGTTAACTCTGCTAATCAATGTTTCTTGAGCATACTAATGTTCAAACATATGCCTCGACAACCTCTGCAAATAAATCAGGTTACTAGAATTCAAGCGGAGACAGGCGACGCTGGGATCTTATTGTGTGTTCGTTGTATAATTGTTACTAAATACTTAACAGAAGTTCATAACAACATGTGTTCTATTTTTGCCAGCGTATACTTTATTCGTCGTAGGCAGTATCACTACGAGTCCGAATGACTTCACCACTATCCACCACGCACAAATTCAGTCTCGTCTGTTGATTACGCTATTCTAAGAAAAGTTTATAACAGATATACGTATTTAGTTGAACAGAACACTACGCACGTGGGACACCAACCTTGGATCAAACCCCCTGACCTTGACCTGGCTTCTTTTTCGCGTCGGGAGATGACGCCTACTTTGCTCAAAGACACTGATGGTATGTCAACGAAATAGCTATTGGAATCGGTGTTGCTAGTCCTGCGAATGCCTTTGTTTCCCTCATTATTGCTATTTTGATCATGATTGACGGTCGTCAGCCTCTCCAGTATTCGCGCCGTCTCTTGTTCGCCCTGTGCGTATGGTACGATTTCAGCGACTGTATGATCAGGCGAAAAGCACCGATTTATGTTGCATGTCATCAGCCGGCTTTCTTAATGGGAAGACATTTACCAGTAGCCGTCTAATGATTACCCGCCGTAGAGCTGAAAGAATGAGTTTGAATCAGCGGCATTTGCATCATTCGCTCTTACTCGATGGATTGCTTTGTTCAGATCAGTAGTATTTTTATCGTCGTTCTCTCGCTTATCCCAGCCATTCAGCTGCAAGCAGCTTGAAACCGCTAGTTTATGGTTGAGTCGCCCAATAGCTCCTTTTTTTTTCGTCATCTTTAGTAATAGTAGTGAAATAACGTGGGCTGACAAATTATCTGCACCATTGCATATATTGCTCGTCTATGCTAGTATACTGTGTAAGCATCCGGTAGCACATCTGGCGTTGAATCCAGTGTGAGCACTCAGCCTACAATTGGGATGGGTATGTCTACGTGGTGACAGCTGGTACTATCGAAACAATACCGTGGCAGAAACTTCAGCTCCTTTTCAACACGACGGCAATTATAGGGTAAGAGAAAATGGCGGGACTTTGGGGGTGAAGGTGAGGTACCACCGGTGAAAAGCGTGTTCGCCAATAAGCCCAACTCATTACGACAATAACGACAGCTGCGGTTACCGCTGTCTTGCTGCCGAGAATCACTTGAAATTGTCGTCTGGATTCGTGTGTAAGCTCTGTTCGAGCCGGGCTGCTGAGCCATAGAGGTTAAAGAACATTAGCGCACGCCTTTGAATATGATCTAATAAATGGTCATCTCCAGCTCAATTAGCTGCTAAATTAATAGAATTGAGTATATATAATGTAAAGTGTGTACGTGTTCTCCGTGACTCCCTGTGTGTACCCTGTCGTGCTTGCATTTTGTGACAGTGTATATTTTGTAAACATATAGCCCTGGTGTGTTTACGATGAGGGTATGTACTAGCGCTCAGTGGTGGCCGTGCTCTTTTCTGCATAGGAACATAAATTCTAATCTACTTTCAACCCTATAATACATAAGCAGTGATTATTCAAGCTTAGTTTCTCGGCGATGTTTACCACGGTTTGTGCGTATTTTGTATTAACAAACGACTTGCAACTAAGCACTTTTGTTCGCTTCCAGCTATCCGTTAGTATTTTCAGAGTTGTCGAACGAGAAATTGTTACCATTCTATTCGAATTAACCTTGCATTGTTTTTCCGTTGTCTTTTGTTAGGCCATACTTGTTGTAGCATGTTCTTTGAGCTACGCTCTTGGGCAGGAGCTCGAGGTAGGGCGTGCTCGTAATGAGCGCGAGTCACTTAAAAGTAGTTCGGGTGGCCGTCAGTCTACACTCTCCCCACCGCCCGCTATCATTCCCTCACGACAGACATCATCGAAAGTAGTCTTCCGAAACGATAATCATCGAGAAAATACTATCAACCACATAGACAGCGAGTTTCAAAAGCAGAAATTGCCGGTAGGTAGCGCGGAAAATGTTCGGAAATTGTTCGGTGCTATCTAATAAGCATATAAGGCTCTACATTTGTAATACTTGCTAAAATAGAATAGCCCAAGATAAAGCATATTTGAAGCAGACGACGTCCACAAGATGTTCGAAAACAATCTCTTTCTCATATCACAATATTGGAAACAGTTACCATATATTCGACTCTGATAATATGTTTACAGTCTTGTGGGATCCCGTACCACTGTTTTCTATTCCCAGCTGGGAAGCTGATATACTCATTAAGCAACCTCTAAATGCTCGAGAAAGGGAAATATGAGGACTACAAATAGCTGCTTCGATAGAGGTTTTGTTTATCACTATGGTGCTACATATGTCTTTGCTTCCTAATTTTAGGAAAACACTCCCCAGCCATATGATTTTGGCTACTCTATTCAAGATGAGTATGGAAACAGCCAGTATCGCCAGGAAACTGGCCATCAGGGCGGAATTATACGAGGATCATATGGCTACACAGATGCATTGGGGACCTACAGAAAAGTAAAATACATTGCTGATGGGAACGGTTTCCGCGCTGAGGTGCTATCGAATGAGCCTGGTGTGAAAGGCGAAAATCCTGCGTCTGCATCCTTTATCGTCGATGTACCGCGTCAGACATTCCAGCCTGCGGGATTTTTGTCGCCGCCATCTTCAATCTCTAAACGCTCAAACGTTCCGCGGCGTTTTCCGTCGCAACGAAGGTTTCCCTCAGCATCAGTAACTTCTGCCGTTGTTTCGACCGCTGCTACACTAAGCTAATTGAATAAAAATAAACAGGCTCTTGGCTGTAGGCAACCAGTCACTGACCAGTGGCTGCACCCTATAAGCAAAAATTGTTTACTTAACATATAGGACTGTTCGGTAAGGAAGGTCTGTGTGATAAGAATCAATAAGTCCAATCTCGAAAAGGTTTGTAAGCATAAGAGGGTATGCGATAAACGTTTTAGCAATACGCATCGTACCCATAATGAATGGGCAGTCCAGAAATCGCATTAAAAAATCTAAGTTCAGAGCAAAATTTAAATCCTCGTTACATGAAGACTAAATTATTTCATATTTTCAGTCAATCGACAAAACTGCCAAAGCTCCTCGTGTTTGAATACCTCAAGTCTAGCGAAATGCTGTTTCTGAGTGATTGTTGAATTAAATAATATGCAAAGCTTATGTTGCGTCTATGAAACTTCTGCTGTGCAGAAAAGCTTCATCGCGTAATGTATAAGTAGATGAACTTTTCAACATTGACATCACCGTAGCATAGCTGGGCAAAGCTCAAATAAAGCATACAAAATAATATAATGTAAAACATTTTAACGAAGTTTTTTTTACTTCTCAACATCGTGGCATATATAGACAACACCTCCGCTTATGAAATTATAGTTTTAACTACATATTAATTATATCTGCTCATATCGCAGGAAACAAGAGCCTGACTGTTAAGCTAGTATTACAAGTAACGTTGGCAACGAACGCCTGGTTCGACTGTGCATAAGCCCCTATTTTTATTCTTTGAATGCCGTTTATTTCGGCATGCTTGATTTAACACCTCAAAGGAAGTTGTACATTAATCAAGGACCTTCATTGCTTTCATTAGAATATATATTTAAAGGGTGAACGTTTGTAAATATATGTAGGCGATTCTTAATTAGTCTGTATTTGTCTAAAATGATTTTTTTTACTTTTTCTTTTCTGATACAAGTTGAATTTGAAGGTCGTCAGTCTAGAATTACATTTGAGGCAAAATTAGCACAGTAACACTCTCGATGATCTTGATGACCACCGATTATTTCGGAGCACTCAAGTTTCTTGAACACTACCTAAATAATGTGAAATTACTTCTTATCCAAAATATATAGATTATAACAAATTTTACAGTCTTCTATATTCTTCTTATATTCATTTTAAACGATCACGTCTGAGACGAGTTCTTTGTCGCACGTGTTTTCTTACAGAACCCTTATTCCTCAAGCTGGAGGTTGTGTGATTAAGCTTTACTATACGAATCTTGCCCTTATTGCATGGTTAACTGGTTCGTTTAGTACTGCGGTAAGGTCTAAATTCCACTTCTACTGTCAGTTTCATAGCTTAAGTTTAAGTAAGCACTTAAATGATGGTAGTATGATTTATTCTTAAACAGTTTCCTAGTATGCAATGTTCTCCTCAATAAGTTCCATAAACCATCAAATCGGAAAACATTGCACCTTTGAGCTTCTCGTTAAACCCTAATTTGAAACATAAACGTAAATTAATAGTACTAAAGTTGTCCAAAGTTTTTCAAAAAACTGCTCCATTATGCTGTGTTGGGTGTGTTAGCGCCGGTTGTGGTTAGATTTGAAGAACAAATAAGTTTTATTAAGTCAAAATGCTTATAAAACGGTTTGCGTCCGACACACCAGTGACGAAGCTTCAGATCATTCAAACCAGCGCATGCAGTCTTGTGTCTTGGAACACTTTGTAGTTTGGAAGACGAAAATCGACTACTAAAAACCACGCATCATGTTTCGTGCCACAGGCGCGAAAGTCAACTTTGCTCAAGTTATGCCGGTACTGTAAAAGACTCTTGGATTTCACGCTATGAGTCTATGTCAAGGGCACAATTTTTCAGGGTACAGAAGAAATCACGAAAAAGGCAATATAGCCCATGCAAGTGCATCGCCGAATTGCAGAACAATGATGCCCCTTAGACGAGTCAACCTGAGACGATCATTTGGAAGCGATAAGGTTTACATCAACGATTGTCCTGAAAGACGTCAATGTCGCGTAAATGCAGACCTGTCAATAGCCTCTTTCAGGAAAACTTAAATTCACTCAAACTTGAGTCAGATTACGTCATTACAGGTGGCCAGACGTGAGTATGACACAATCGTAGGTGCAAGGTCCAAATTAAAGTGAAGCTTTTTCTCGTCGGATCTCGATTATCGGAAAGTTGTACGTTATGGATTTGTACCGAATAGTTCTACGGTTCGTTTTAGGAACGTCGCATAATACTGTTCGTTCAAATGGACTAACCCCACGAGAACAAATTGTTAGTTTTGTATCACGATCACACCGGCTTGCTGTCACTATCCACATTGCTTTGCTTACAAAAAAAGCTTAACGCCTTTGTTTCCTGCACCAGTGCACTAAGAAGGTCTAGTCATCGGTGACTTTTTTTGTTCACAAAGCCTGCTAGACGCTTGACAGCAGGAAACTTTAATACAGATGAGGGTATTTGAAAAAAAGAAAGTTGAGGCCTATATTTAGAAAATAGCAGGAATTATTTTAATGGAGATGAGGTTGATCCTAGGCACTTTAGGTATGGACAGTTAGTAATGAGCGGAATGCTCGATTTTTTTTTTAACCAGCAGTACACGACATAAAATATATTTTATACCAATTATCAGTAGTCCTGCTAGTTTAAGTGCGGAAATTTTTTTAATAGAATGTGGGGGTAAGATTCTCATTCGTAAAGATATATCAAAACCTAGATCGAAGAAAAAAATGACGGCAGGATAACATAGATATTTTCTTGTAATGGCTAATTTTTCTTTTAAATCTTACGAGTGCGAATATACTAAAAAATTTGGTTCTATATAAAGGAACAAGCTATTACAAAGACCTACACTAAATTATGCTGGGGTTCTAGTCCGATGTCAATGGCATACACTCATCCGCAAGTATTATTACTACTTTTAGGTGAAAAGTAGTTCTTTCTATAAGAAAACAACTAACCCCTCATCGCAGACAACAATGCGTCATTTTTGGAATCTGAGCGAGAATTAGTTATGATCCAATCCGTACGCGCTGGGCAAACCCCCACCGAGACTAGGAACTTCTTGAATCATACTGAATTGACAATAGAACTCGCAAGTTAGTATGCGACTGCAGAAGAAGCAGTATCATAAAAGTTAGACAGGTTCTCTCTGAGCTCAATAAAGCCAAAAATATTTACTAGTATTTATGATTTACTCTTTTCAAGACTGAAGCAGCAAATCGTCTTCCAGCTTTCTTTAACAAGAACTGTTTTATTCTTGACATCACTAAACCTTTTTTCTTCAGAAAGGGGAATGTGAGGAAAATTCACTATAGATATTTATCTACATTACCTACAAACTAGTGTGCAATTATGGATAGCTAGAATATCTCAAAGAAGAAAAGACATCAACAAGGTGGTTTACCGATTAGTGCAGATTTGACTGCTTGAGAATACAAGCGTATTCTGTGGAGGATAGATTTGGCCGCTGAACAGCCTAGATTTGAACCCGTTGGATTCCTATGTCTGAAGTTTCATTGAGCGAGAGTCCAACACGTCTCAACATAAGAATGCCAACTCACTTACTTGTGCCTTTTTCAAAAAGGTCTTTCGCAAGGGGAACATTCGAAACGAGCATAGAATGAAAGCTCTGTTCGTGACAAATAATAGTTATATTTCGCAGACATGATCGGCAGGAATGACACTACTAATATACATAAGAAATTCAGTTGAAATATTCTTTTTTGTGTAGATACTATTGAAAACAGCACAAGAAAGAAGTCCCTGTATCGGTGCCGTATTAATATATATTAGAATTAAAGGGTTTTTACTCGCGAGTAATTCTTAACCTGTACCCCATCTACATTGAATCATCCCCCGACGTGAACCGTGAGCTATTACCGCGGAATTCTCTAGAAGGGGGCTCAGCGTGTAGCTTGGCCCATCTCAGTTGCCCGCCTGTTTTTATTCACCACAAGCGTTGCGGAACATCAGCCCTGATGTGAAGCACTAAGTCACGTTACTTTTTCCACCGGTTGTTGACTATCCGTTTTGTTGTGTCACCGACATATGGACTCACGATGCCTGTACCCATTAAGACGAAGAGACACACAATACATGATATCTGTTGTAGTTGTTAAGGCCGCTGGAACTATGCGAGTATTATTTCATGCACGGTATTCTTTACCATACTCGCCTTATAAGCCTAACCTCAGGGTTTATCCGTAAAGTAGTGTGCCCAAGTGGTCTAGAGCGCTGCTTTTAGGCACCTGTCTTTTCGAAGGCATCCGTTACTGTTATCGGTCTTTTCGACGGTTCTCCGAAATTCAGCCAGCTCTGGAATAAAACACTCAACCAGGTATTACTTCTGCAACCAAAAAAAAAAGCTGACATTTATTACAATATGAAAAAATACAGTTAAGAGCGAATTTTTACACTTCTACGTGACTCTCATGACCGATAGCCGGCACTTTTTTTTCTTTATTAAACTCATTCATGGACAATCGTAGCCTAGATGCTCAAGTATTGTCTCTCCGTAATTCACGTAAAATCCCGTCTAGCATATTCAGATCAATATGTTCAAAATACCACTATGCTGTGCTGCTGTAAGGTATAGCACGTTCTACACGTTTGGAGAAACATAGATTTCCTTTTTGCCTGCAAAATTGCACGCGAGTTGTAATCTCATTAGTACATTTGTAGATTAACGTGGTCGTATTCAAACGACTCGTCTGAATACAAACAGGTACGATGAGTTTTAAGCAAAACTGTTTCTGACCGGCACCACACTGCAGGTCCATAGAAAAAAAGGTACATTGAGAACTGAGTCCGGCACAGCACGAATTGCCGCTTTATTTTTGATTGTTGACCTCTAAATTACGTCAGCTTGACGGCCGTCTCTTTTGTTCGGTGTGATTATCGAGACATGTATTCATACAAGCCTTCGTTAGCAAATCATCGGTCATCATCAATAACCATACTTGAGTGTTTTAACGTAATCCATAAAGACAAATTTCGTCTGAAGTTTGTCTGGTCCTCATTGATGTGCTTTAGCTTTTTTTGTTTTGACTATAATAGATTACAACTTTAAAGTATGTTCAATTGAATCAGCCATACGTGGTTCCGAGCGCGAGTATAATATTCTAACGTAACCTCATTGACCAGTTCATAACTCTAAATACCTTTTAAATGTTTTCACTGAGTATAGTGACAGTGTGTAGCAATAACGTGCTATGGCGTTACAATCAATAACAGTGAATGGCTAGAGACTAGTAAGGTATTCATTCTATCCAGATACGAAACACTCATTGTCATTAAAGATAGCTGATATGAAAGACGCACGGTACTTGGTACAGCAACAAGTTTATCTCCGTCATAGCCTATATTCATAGTTATTCTTTGTTTACATGGTTTTCAAGTTCGTCATCTACCTGATCATTTTGTGCTGTTGTTAAGACCAAAGAACCGTTGCGACTGGCATCGATTTTACCGCGCTGAGGTGTAGAAATTTCCTCATCTTCTTGAAGGAGTCCTTTTGAATTTTCATCAACTTCATGAAGTAGCTTTCGAGAACCTTGATTGCTAGCCTGAAAAGGTTCTGAAGGGGCCTCAAACGGGGCGCCATCCGTCTGAGCCAAAGAGGGAGAAGTTCCCGAGTTTTCGTCGGGAATGAATAGAGCTGTCTCAGAGTCCGGTACGTTCGAAGTAGGTCCATTTTCAAGACCCAATCGGTGAGCCTCTAAGGTAGAATACTGCGTCAATCTCAGCCTATCCTCGTCGGCGCAAAAGGCGATCATTGAGGCGTATGTAGAAGCAACTGCATCGGTTATCATCTTAGAACTGCGAACAAAGCCTTCAAATTAAAACAAAACTTCCTTACGTTTAATACAACACCTGTGTATTTGCTATAAACGTCATAAATGACTGGATACGTATTAAGCGTTGTCTTACTATCACAGTGAACATACTGGTAGAAAGCAATGTACATTATCAGCTGTCTTTAAAATGGAAACCTGCTTCGCTAAGAAATGCTTCCCTTTACACGAAGTACATTGCGTAATTCCAAACTGCATGATTATATGAATTCAAGAATAATTTTAATTTAATCAAACGAATGTGCTTCGCAAGCTTTGCCCTATATGTTTAGATATACTCAAGATTAACTTACACTTTTCCTTTCAAGGATAACACGTGTTGATCCTTGGGATCCATCGTTTGGTCGGCAATTGAGTCCTGTCCTACAACCGACAAACAGCTGGTGTCCGCACGAGGTTCACTGAGTCGCTCGCGGGGCAAATGATGTTCTTCCGGCCCCTCTGGGTAGATTTTTTCGCCCCCGAAAGTATCGCTTGCTTGTTTGGATTTATTTTGGTGTTCGATTGTGGCGTCGGTTCGATTGCCACCCGTGGAGTTCGTGAGGTTCGCAGGAGCTAATTCGCAAAAGAAACATATTAAACGATATACATAGACTACAGACTAGAATCTCGAACATAAAAAGCACAGTTGAAGTAGCAAATAATGCTAGTATTACAGACTATATTACAAATAGCACAACGTTTAGCTCATCGAATGCCTAGCTTCCTGCAAATACTACATATAGCGAACAATTAGACGATAACAGGCTTGGCGAAGTATAATTTGTTTTGGTTTCTTCGGCCAGTTTGACTCACAGCATTTCCTATAAGCTCAACAGGAATCCAACGAGTAACTACGAGTCTTACAGTTGTTGACAGCACAGACGACCATCGTTTAGAAGTGACAGCAAAGAACTGAGATTGCAAAAAAAACTTGTTAGGAACATGTAACTTATATTCGCACCGTATTGAAACATACAGACTGCTTTGACAAGGGTCTCGGTAATAGGTAGCACACAAGAACAGCTTGAAAACAATGACAGAAAATAATAAGGAGAAAAAGTAAGGGTGATAAGTACAATGCTGAGTAATGGTGCCAAGGCTCGTGCCTTTGGCTGCGACAGAAGCAGTAGTCAGGCCCGTTAACTCTGCACCCGTATCTTGCGAGTGGCTGAACTCAGAATCTCTGCACGTCGACGGTACAGTGGCAGCGGCTATTAGTTGTCCCGGTCTTGGATCTGGCTGCTCGAACATCACCATTTCGTTGTCCTGCTGCAGAGTCCCTGCTGACGCTATCCTAGCAGTGCTTTCTGTCGTCTCACTAGGGTCGAGCATTCTGCCACTATTGCGCTCAAAAGGCGGCTTGAGGTCGGGATAAGATCGACGCCTTTTCACACCTGGATTTGTTCCATCTGTTCCACGGGTCGTACCACGACCGCCAAAGACCTGGGCCACCCCAGTGAGGAAGCAATTTCCCGTGGTTATTATTGCGGGCATTGGAGCCGCTACCGCCTGTAACAATTGATGCCACGAATGATCAAATTCGTAAAAAAAAGATGAGATTTATTGCGGCCACTCGAACGGCGTTCAGGCGACAGGATGTTTATGCGAAAAATCTCGAACCGCGCTAGTGGTGGACCCATTGTAAAAGGTGGCGACACCTCAGGAAACTGTGCTGTAAAAAAATTCACGTTTCACGAAGCGACTTTGTCTATTATTTTTGTAGAGCAATAAATTGTTAGACACCATAATTAGGTACAGTGGATTCATTGGAAATGCATTACTCGATGAATATATCGACATGAACCGAGCGGCATACACAAAATGCTATGTGTATTCATCGCCGTAATTGATTTTATTATCAAATCCACGAATCGACAACAACCTGTCTAGTTTTACTTCAGTGATTCAACCATCTATCAGTTTTATCCCGGTAACATCATGATTTCCCGTACTATGATGTGAAAAAGTGGCCCGTGTACGAACAAATATCTAAATCTATTACCCCACAGTAATTTCACACAATTTTGTTTAAGCTGATTTCTCCCCAGTCCGTAGTGCACTGAAATTAGAAAGATGACGTAGGACATTTCACGCTACAACAAGCGTGTTCACGCTACAAGAGGCGTAGGGGGAATTTTCTCAGTGGTACAACCTGTGCTGTGCGACTACCTGGGAAATTACCTGAAAGATTAAACTTTCGAAAACATTTAAGGTAGCATTGACAAGTTTATGACCCTGTCTAATCTTTGTTTACGCACGACGTCTCGATGGAGTGTTTATTTTGAGGCCCTTTTCGAACCGTAATCCTTGTGCTCGCACTATAGAACTAAGCTTAGCTAAGCTTAGTTAACATATTAATGCCATGTGTAGTATGTTCATGTATCTCCAGAATGCGCTTCGTTCATAATTCTCGGTGGATTTTAGTTTTCTGAAAATGCATCGACGTAATTCTGTGATACATGAGAGAATTTTTTACTTTATTACGATACACTCTTACAATTGTTACAACCCTTATCGTCTCATATGAACACACCCACGCTGTGCCTTGGGTAACGTTCGGCCGAGTTTTCTGATTCGAATTTGCCGCTTAATTCGCCATCCATCCCACATGAAACAAAGCAAACTGTTTAACGTGAGCCGATGAATAAGGCTCGGTCTACGTCCAGGTGAGCTTCGTTCCACCGAGAATACAGCCCTCTAATGCTAAACTTTTCTCTTACACGTCACTCCAACAGTCATTCATCGGAACGATCCAGTCTAGCAGTAGATTTTTGAAAAGCATATTGTCAGATCTTCAAACATTTCGGCATACAAAGAAAGCAAACGACTATATATTGCCAAGGTAGATGGTTTATCTGCACGGAAACAAATAGCAACTGTTACCATGGTCCTGTGGTGCAGGCGATTCGTGGGCTGTGGGAGCGTTGGAGAAACCTGGGACTGTGTAAAGACGGTGCCAGGGGATGGCTGGCTTCCGTGGATGTTGTATGTGTAGGTTGGATGAGATGCAAATCCAGTCCTAGCACGAACTGCAGTACTCCTGAGCGTGGCCATCCAAGGATTTTGGTAAGTAACGTAACGACTTCCATTTAGTTCTTGTTGAAGCTGTGAAACATTCGGCACAAACAGCGCTTGAGACTGGGCCGACTGGGCTGATGGATGGCTCGCCACCTGTCTGCAAAATAACGGTTTTCACACAGGGCAATCCGTACGTAATCAGTGATTTTTTCCGTTCATCTAAAGACATTGTTATTCAGTCATAATACGCCGAGACAAGCTTTGAAGAATAATTGCAGTTCTTAATTATTGTATAAAATGTAAATAAGATAGGTGTTTCGATTAGACAAAATATTGTGCAAGCTATATTTGTAAGTTTATGTGATAAACATTTACTAATTAGTACGTCTATAACAAACTACTGGACGCGCCCCAATTTCAAAAATGATGCGCAACACTGTAAGACTCAGCTAGACTGGACTCTCATACAAAATCTATATATACCTGATGTGTTATACAGAGTATGCTTCGCCAATACTGTGAAAAGCTAAATGACACATGATTATTAAAACTAGCATAAATAGTAATTATACATTTGTAGGTATTTTCCTCATGCTTGAAGAAGATAGGTATAACGGCTAATTCTCATAAGCGATACGTACTTCGTTAACTGTATTCATTGGCGTATATAACTCTCGAATACATTAAGGTTTAGTGGCGCGCTATTTCGCCCACCTATTCGATGAATCTTCAATGAGTCGATGAGTTTCTCCAATGTGTCGCTCGAGATTGTCCGCTTGGCTTGTGTAGAATGTGAGACAGATACCACACTGGTAGGGTGTCAAGACTGGGTTAAACATAACCTGTCTAACAAATGTGGGAGGACGTACACATGTGTAGAGTTGAGTCCTGCTGAGTATCCCTGATCGACCGGTTCCAATCGGCCCAACGCTATGAGATGTAACCGGATCCTGGATGCCGTTTCTAGGGTAGCTGGTGACAACCATATTTATTCTTTTTCTACATTTGTTACCACATAAAATACATATTAATTATTTCGCAAAACCGTTGAAATCCTAACGGTGGAAAGCTTTTAACGTTAGTTTACTAGATTATACATTTATTAATATTTATTTTTTCGCACCGCCGTTCAAGTCATCTTGCTAATAACGCACGTATGAGTTAGATCGTTTTTTGATATCGCCATATTGCTGACGTAGATTGAGAATACTTTTAGAACCAATTGTTATGAGCACTCATCAGAGAATCAATCTGCCCTGGGCGTAAGAGTATATTACGCACATATACCTACGACGATTTAGTCAACTATTAATGAAACGGCAGCTACAGTGGACAACTGGCTAAAAATGAAGTCCTGACAACGCCTATATCCAGTATAACCTCAGGAGTAAGACAACCAAACCAAAATAGAGTGTTGTCTACAAAGACAAATTTTTCCATTCTTCGTTTTATTTAGCAGACGCCAACTCTTTGACAACTGACACACCTATCTGAAACTCCGCATCCCAAACAATATCAGTTTTACAAGTCTATATAAAGAATAGACACTGACAACTTACACACACAAACACGTCTGTATCAAAAAAGATATGCGCTCAAAATCAGCTTATTGTGGAAGCGTACTCGAAGCAGCTGACTTCGGTGACGAGCTCGACTGCATAGAAGCTCTCCCTGACCCTCACTTGTGCAGATCGAGAAAGAACGTTTTTTCTATTCGCTACTGACCGTGTTCACCTTCATAAAATAAAGTAGCACTTATGATATTTAGACACGTAATGAATGAACTGAACAAATCGGGCAACAGTTGACAAATAGGATCATGCTTGGTCAGCGTCACTAGACACGAATGCTGTTCACTCCAATGGCAGATGGTAGGCGTACGCACTGCACTAGCCAAAGCACGATACCTGCACGCATTTTATGAGCAGTTAGCTTGACGGTGTTCACGTTGCCTTAACGTTATAGTAAAGACGAGCTCATTGATAAGAACAGTACGACGTGCTAAAGTCGTCAAGGATAATAAAAATCGATGTCTTGCTCTTTTTGCACTCATTGATGCCATTTCTATTAGTATCGGGAAGATAACAGTTCAAATTTACTTTTGTTTTCGCATGCTATGTAGTCGTCAATTCGTAAGAAGAATCAATTATCGACCGGACAGATTTTTGACGTCTAAGAAACACCTGAAAGCCTGAATTTTTTCCAACTTGTTGATATTTAATGTTGTTTTGGCGGTAGCAAATTGTTGTCAAACACAGCTAATATGAATTCTCAGTTTGTTATTATAGTCGGATATATGTATTTGCCATATTTCGTCATTTTAATACAGTCATAAGTAAAAGCGTGAATAATCTAGATTTCTTCCTCCCAATTAGTAAGATCCCATCGCTCTTGAGCGAAACTGAGGCCAGGTTATCTTCGCTTACCCTTTCAAACACTTTAACCAGAGTTTTGTTGTTTGCGCTTTAGATTGTAGTTCCGGTTTGCCCGCTTTCACCATTAATTCAAGGTGAGCAGCCTATGCAATCAGGTCTAGTTCTAACGGCAAATGCCGGAGCTTGAGGATATCGTCCTGATCGAGATTTGATAGCAGTGGCCCTACTGTGTAACCATTTACTATTTTCTAACGTAAACAAAATGTTTATAATGTCCATAAATGGCAGGCGCAGGCCCCATCAGAGAAAGACAATAAGATGTAACTTTACACTCTCTTGGGTAATCAATTATGTATAAACGAACAGCTGGTTTTCCCCGATTGTATTACTAAAGAACGCTATCTATATGAGTAAATTCTATCTGTCCACCCGCCCATAAGTAGTTGCCTTAAAGACCTTGAATCATGTCAGTAGATTTTGATTTCGGATTGCGAACATATTGGGTAAATAAAAAATGACCGGACACATAACATTCACATGTATCAATCTTATTACTGCTACTATAAGTAGTTGCCTTAAAGACCTTGAATCATGTCAGTAGATTTTGATTTCGGATTGCGAACATATTGGGTAAATAAAAAATGACCGGACACATAACATTCACATGTATCAATCTTATTACTGCTACTATAATAATTCCACTACATGTATCAATCTTATTACTGCTACTATAATAATTCCACTACATGTATCAATCTTATTACTGCTACTATAATAATTCCACTATAGTAGAAATACTCATTATTTTAATACTATTAATTTTTCCTTTTATTTGGTTAATCAATAAACTTCATATGAAGTGGCTTTACCATCCGTTCTTTGGAATACGATTCACCATGTCATGCATTCTATCGAGCGCGCTAGGTTCACAGCCTCTTGTTCGCTGTCATTTATATACTATATATGTCATTTATATACTATATATGTACTAAATGTGCTCAACCCGAGGCCAGTATTTTCCAGAACCTAATGCATTTAAATTTACGTATCACTATGTGAACGTTTTCTTGATCTTTACGAGTACGTATTTGGCACGATTGTTGTCCTTAATGCCCACTCACTGGTGGCACAATTATTAGACTAACGCCGTCGGGGGTATCCCTTACGAGTTCATCTGGTAGGTCTGCACAGCGAAGTCTTCCGTCATCCTGGCGTGCATGCTCTTCTCATGGGGGCACTCGGTGATAGGGCCTGCTCGCCCTGTTCAATTGGGTTAAGACTGCTCACCTTCCAGTGGCGAATCAGTAAACCCGTTGTCGTCAGTAGAAACAAATCCACAAATTTACACACCTCTCAGCCACGTGCTTACTCACGCGCCCTAATCGTCAGCTTGGAAAAAAGCATGCTACCAGGCATTTACTTCTCATGCGCTTGAATCATACTGAGGGCACTCCAAGGCTTCAGCCACTCGCAAAAGTGAGAATCGTTCTTTTTTGTATTGAAGCGATAGAGGGTGCTTTGCTTAAATAAGAAGCCGTCTTCAACCTTTTTGTCGTACATTAATTACTAATATCCACCAATGGCTTGCTGCTTGATGCGTAGCGAAATCCGTCAGCCGATAGGCTGACGGATTTCGCTACGCATTTTTATTTGCTCTGGTCAACGAGTCCCATACTTTTCTAATATATGCTCTCGCACTACTTGGACTAACTCAGTATAGGAAGTTATCCTCGTGGCGGTAGGGACATTAGCAAAAGGTGCTGATCTTGCCGTTTTTCCTAAAAAAATCATTAACTCGAGTTTTACAACTAGCTTATTTCGCTAAGAACCTCTTGACACTCACGAACTCAATGAACGTCTCGTCAGCTATCCTATAGGGACGAACTAATTGCTCAGGCGAATCAGTCTCCTCTAAGTAGAAACGCTCATACAGCCTCGCTTTGAAGCTTAGCTCGCACTTAGCTTTTACACTGACCTTGAAATCCAGTTAAACCTGGGCTATTCCTTGCAAACGTCTATGCGCTTGCCTCATGACCTAGCTCGGTGACCATGTCCATTCTTGTAGGAGCCCCTCGTCTTCATCGGCTTGGAACTCCTCTCGTCGGATTCAATCCGGAACGACTTCAAATGAGTCAGCCGTTCGATGTACTTTTTAATGACCTCGGCCGTATCGCCAGCCATCCCACCGAGGCCATTAGAATGATGTGGATTGAATTATCTTCATTGTTGGCTAGGGGAAACGAGCAATTATTTACCGCCGCTGGCTTCGCATTTGTATGATCGTAGATATGTATTTATTCACATATTTAAACTAAAACCATACATAGTTAAAAAAATAGGTCCCAGAGCGTAGATACAAAAAAGCTGTGCTACTATCACCAGTTGGTGATGGCCTAGTGAGTAATGTGTTTGCCTGAGACATGGTGGCCTTGAATTGAATTTGGGCGTAAACGTACCTCATTTCATGCTAGAAGCTAAGCGTCTGATGGCATACCTGACAGCGGTACTAGGCGTGAATCTCAAATATTCAATGCTTTTATTACTTGTTATGCCGCCTCAGCTGTAGTAATATAAGTTGGCACCAACTGTAAAAGGTAAATCCGACATCAAAGTGCATCCGTTTTCGATGTTTCTTGCTGTTTGCATGTGCAGACAGAATTTTGTGCTATTCTCTAGGCTGGCGTGGATCTACTTAGCTATAAACGGAAATCTAAACTGAGACTTTTATCTTTAAGCTATCGGGAAGGTTCCCGGGTTAACAAAGACTAAACGGAGGGTGTCTGTTCTGTCTATAATACTATCTGGTGTAGTATTAAGGGTCTATGGGTAAGATTTCAAGGATATTTATCCGCTACAAAGTTAATATCTGTAATCGCTAAGGGATCCCCACTCAGTTTTCGCCATGCAACAAATGCCGACACGATACGCGTAAAATTAAGAACGTTGTTTAATGTAAGAATGATATTAACGACAGTAGTTTTGCAGCAGTATATCGTGAAGGTGTAATTTATTCCTAATGTGTTCATTCTATGCGTGTTATAAGTGCATAGCCTGACTATAACAGCACAAACAATATATCAACACAATCATGATATATGTGCATTAAGTTTTGCCGACTGGAAGCCTACTCTGAGCCCCACCATTTAAGTTCCGTGTATTAAGAACGTTCCTGTTTCCGCGTTTTAAGGAAAGTGCAGAACAACACACTGATGATAAGACGAGCTTCTCATTTAATGTCACATTATTGTTTTCAGTTGGTTTCATAACTGAATTTATTTAGATTGCTTTTCAACACCTGTACGAACATAGAATTTACTTAGCACGGCCAAGTTGGTTAAGTGTCTGTGTGTAGAGTATTTTGCGGAAATTGCAGAGATCAAGTAATCGTTCAATCGAAGGGCAAGATTCAAACAGCTGATTGTTCCATATTTCAGTTTGTTCCGGTACTCAAGTTAATGCTACTGCACATAAAGAGATTAATGTAAGTGCGAGATACTAATTAATAACAAACATTAAAACACAAAAACTGTAAAACATTATAACCTTATAAAGTTCTACGTACGCCGCAGTCGCTTAAAACTACCAGTTATTATGAAAGGGTATAGTATTAGTGATTCGAATAAACTGCCGTTATTTACGCATACATTACGAGTGATTTTTAAATAAAGCAAGCGATAATATTTAAATCCGTCCAAAGTAGACTTGGGCCAGTATAATTGTGTACACACTGTATCAACGTTAACTAAAGAGATAGCAATCGGGAAATTCGATTTTTGCACTCAACTAAAATTACTTTGGTTTTTTTTTTCGAAATGGCTTTGAATTGCATTTTCACTATCATAAAACTTTTTCTTAGAGAGCATATTTAGAACAATGACCAATTTTCAAGTATAAGAATAACTAATAATTTAGATTAATTAATACATCCGAATAGTTTACTTTTTCCAACTCACGATAAGTAAGAGGTAAAGATAGGTATTTGAAATGAACTACAAATTTTCTGGGTTGGTCAGGTGGAGTCATTTCGGCAACCTTCGAACTTTGCTGCTTATTAATTTATTGTACCTTGTCGTTCGGTCTGCACCTTAACTCGCCCATTTTCAACCTGTTCAGTGTTTGCTACTGTCTTTACATTCTATCTGGGTTTATTACCATCAGTTGCCTATACGATCAAAAAACTGACTGCGTGTTCGACATTAATATTTTTGTGTAGAGAAAATGTATAAATAAGCGACTAGAATTATTTTTGGGGTTTCAGAAGAGGTAAGCATATCTGACAGCATTCATAGGATTTTGTTTTCGCATTGTGAAGTTTTCCATATCTGAATCTGGACGGCAAATTGCTCCACATAGTCGCGTAAGGCAGACGGCTGTGAACTGTCGGCTCCATGGTCGAAACAGTTCGCCCATCACCCGAAGGGTTTACCGCAAAGCTAAGCATTAGCCACTACATTGTTTTGAATTAGCTGTATGCACTAGTAAATGTTTCAAAAAGCAGGATTGTGGGTCTGACTTAAAATCACATATTAAAGCTGCCATTGTTAGTCATTTCAGCATACGCATATAATTTCTTTCACTGTAGACAAAGCTTCTGTGCAAAATTTGTTCGACTTCAATTGTTCAGGTTCACGGCCTGAAAAACAAGCTACTCCAGAAAAATTAGGAGCCTAGAAACTAATCTACTAATCGATATCATTTCTATGGGTGCCACTGTCGTTAACTGAGGAACCCGTCTGACGTTTCGACGGTGGCGGAAGACTATGAAAGATTCGAGAAATTGCAGCAAGCGGGAGAAGCTAGTCTTTTCCAGATGAGAACAGCATTCGAGCTGTCTAACACTATATAGTGGTGGGACATTTTGGGAAATCCTTTGCACTCGAGGTGCACTCGTACCTTGTGGGATCTGAGACTGATTACTAGAATGTCCTCAATTGGTCAGACAAGTTGCAGTGTCCCACGAAAGATCATAAAGTTCAAGTGGTTTCCGAATGTAAGTTCTTTCTTCAAATTACAGGTGCGGAAATAGCCTTCTGTACAACCCTTATATTTTATAAAGGCTCTACTACTATTCGGAAAACAGAGGGCCGTTGGTAGGTGTTTTTTTTAACTCAAACATAGGTTCCGTAAAAGATTCCCTGCAAAGGTGAATAAAGAATTGTTGGGTTGAATTGCGAGCTGTGGTGGAAGGCAACCTGTCCTAAAGTACTTTGCTATTGGTGCCAAGGTGTGATGTGTGTAAAAATTACGTGTTTGTTTACTTCGGTCAAATTGATAAAGGAAAAAAAAATTAGACAAATGGCTGCTACCATTTGTCTTGTTTTTATTATTATTAAGAACCGAGATATAAAGATGTTTGCTTCTCTTTGCTATCATGTTACAACAATGACACATTCTTTTACCAGCTTGTTACTCGTGATGAAAAATGGACCTTCTGTAATCATCGTAGACAGGTTTATAGTGGGTGGATGCAACTGAAAGTATGGGGCATCAGCAATTGAAAATAAAAGAGCCTACGCCTGGAAGCCATAGTGCACGATGTCGTATTTTTTTAGGTTTTTTTTTTTATATCTAATCACGTATGACTATAGGCTTTATTTATAGGACTTATTTGTTAAATGAGGGCTATCGTGTCTTCGAGGATCCAATGTCGAACTCAGACCGCATAAAATCAATGATAACCGATAATGAACGTGGTTATGGTTCGAAGGTCTTGGCTTCGATTGGCCCTTGCGTCTATTACAAGTAAATGTTGACGAAGATTAAGTGAATAAGTGGCGCAGAATGTGTCTACTTTAGTAATTACAACGAAACAAGAGGAAACTTTCGTGCCGCAAAGATGCATTCTGTGGACGTGAAGCTACGTTTAGAGGAACGAAACATGGCCGAATTGCGTGGTCTACTACACCGTTCCACCGATCTTACGAATAATATATGTGGAATACTCAACTCGTTCGATGACCGGTAGGTGATATCAAACATTCATTTTACCTGATATATATTGCTTTGGTCTATGGGGCTATGTGCTGACTAAATTTGCGTGTATTTAAAGAGTAGTTTTGTTGTACAAAAAAGAAGTAGATGTTCTTTTGGGCTTTTAGATTCTCCATATAACAGTCATTAATAATCATTCTATCGCACACAAAACACCGAATTCAGATTACCACAGTAAATTATTATAATATTACAGATTGGAACGGTTAGAGAAGACCATAACGCCGGTGCACAAGCAAACTGGTTCATTGCAGAAGCGCCAGGAAAACATCAATCTCGTACTGAAGAAGCTCGACGCTGTCATACCAATGTATAATGTCGCTGAAAGACTTCGCGGCATAGTGGCGCGAGGACCTGCGCAGCAGAACAACATCAAAGTAAGCTCAAATACAGTAGTATAAACTGGACACAAACGCAACTTTAGGGCCTGATGAAAGAAAATTAGGTCATATCAATAGTGGCCTGTTATAATTACAGAAGTGTTCCGACGTCGATTCTCGAACAAAGATCAGTATGTAATTGGTGTATATCACACTGTGACGTCAGGGCATACGATTGCCCTTCATTGGTAATGTTCTGTTTTATTCGCAGGACTATATGGAAACCATAGAGGAATTACGTCGCGCGCTAGAATTTTTTGAGAAAAGCTCACCCTTAAATGCCGAGGTTCCAGCACTCAAAAACCTCATTCAGCAAGGACAGAGTCTGCTGCTTCAGCACTTTGAAGTGAGTCAACTATTGACAAGTGGAGCTAAGCTTTACTTGTGTTCAACATTTCACGTATCCCAATTTCTATTTAGCATATGTTTCTGAAGCTAGTATACCATATTGGCGCATGATAATAATAATAAAGATAATTAAGGCTTTATTGCTTTTATTTTTTTGGTCCAGGATCAGCTAAATTCGCATTCAAGACCACTGACAGCCTCAGCCATTCTCGAAATGATCGAAATCGACGAGGAATTGCGAAGCATCGACTCAACTCGAAGTCTGGATCAAATCCCTAAAGAGGTCAGGCCACCTCGACCGAAAACATGCTAGCTTCTTCGGGTTTTTCAATCAAATATTCAAAGCTAAATACACTGTTAGCGTGTGCAAAAACTCTCGAAGATCCTAAGGGAGTAATTATACACCTAAAATTTTCACCTATATAAAGATATGTATCATTCAATTGTAGGTTCAAGACGAGCTTCGAGAGATGGCCTCTTACCTTTCGCGATGTGGACTTGAAACTCGCGTGATGGAAAAATATGGCACGGTCCGAAGTCGCGTGCTTCTTCAATGTATGGCAAACCTTCGAGAATTTCAGAAAACAGCTAGTGGAAGCAACTGCAGTAATTCCCATCTTGCGATAATCGGTTTGTACATCGTAATCGTAGTTCTCATGCGTAAAACTATTTTTTTCTTTCTACTTAATTTTAATCAATTCTAACTCAAGTGTGACTTTGGTGAAGCGGCCTCGAAGACGTGTGTCACAAAAAAGTCCGAGTCTTTAGGGGTGGACGTAAATTTAAGTAATTAAGTTACTATTTACAATGAATCTGGCACATTGCAAGAAATTTTTTAGTTGTGCTGTGTAACTTGTGTAACAACTTGTGTAACTCGAAAAAATTAAGCATCCAAAAATGGAAAAAAACAACATTCAAGTGGCATAAAATAAGTCACACTTAGCAGCCAGGTAGAGATAATCAGTTACATAAGCAAACTGAAACGTACTCTAAATTAGTGCAAAATACTCAAGTTTTAAAAAACATGTTCATTGTTGTTCTAGGTGTGTCCTTAAGCCCGCTCCCGCATCGTCGCAGTGGAACTCTTGTCAAAGAGGGCGGCGGGGGTCGGAGTAAGGGCCGGAGGACGCTCGATGCACTTCTGAAGAATGCCGGGTTCAAGAGGCCCTCGGCCGATGCACAGACAGCTTCCCGCTACATTTTTTCGAGGTAAATATATTGTAGCGAGGATTCTATAGTGACTTGTAGGATTCAACGGTTGTCCCCGTGAGAGCCTGGTGGGCAACGTATTTGCCTGCTGAGCTTAGGAACACATTGTGATATAGGTACAGAACTGGGCATAGGGACACTTCGTTTTCTGCTGGGAACTAACCATTTGATGGAATATTTAATGGTGATAGGTAATTCAATGGTTAGATAGTCAATTATAAGGTGCTGAGAACGTTAAGCTATTGTAGATTATATAATGAATCAGCTATGGTCAACAAACTAGATTCAGTAAACCATAAAGCCATTTTAAAGACTTTCAATATCTAGATCGCAGATAGTTAAATAAAGGCGTGCGCGTTGTTATAAAATGATTATATTCTAATCGTATATGGAGCAGAGTCATAGATAAATTATTGTATAACTAGTTGCTGCTAGATAAAAAGCGAAATTATATGAAAAGTTTGGTCACTGTTGAAGCTGAAGTTAATTAGACGCACTGGGAATGTTCGGCGGCATGCTCATTGATCTGAAGGTAATTTCTTAAGCTGCCGGTATTGCGTTAAAAGCTCAGCGTCAACGTTAAAATTACCCAAGTTACCCGATATGGCTGAAGCATGCCTATATATATACATATATTTACATATATGTACAACGAGGTTGATTCAAGGACTTTTAATTATTTTAAGTAACTTTGAATATAGTTTGGTTTAATCGGTAAGATGAGTATTTGTAATATGTTCAGTTTGTATGCCGACTATAATACATGGGTTTTTAAAATAACAGGGAAAATCGTGAGGATGTCGAGGTCGAGGGCTTCCTGACTTCCGTAAGCGCTCTACTGAAACTTATGCAGTCTGAAGCAGCACTCCTAAAAGCGGTTCTACCTGAAAGACGACCTGCTATTCTCAATCAAAATGAGGCTGCGAATTTAACCTCAGCCGATAAAGCGGTTTTCGAACACGTCGTGCAAGCAGCTGTTGCAGCCGTTATGATGGAAGGGGAAAATTTGGATAAAGTATGTGTGAACTTTCTATTATGTGTATTTTATAATAGAATGTGCGGTACATAAAACATATGCTGCCAGGGATTTTTCTATGACGTAAATCAAATACACTTTATGACATTACAGGTGGTAAAAGAAAGCGCGACTCGACATGAATTTCAAATAGTTTTGAGTCTTTTTCCAGCTCTGCAACATCTTACACAGATCCGGCCAGAGTATGAACAACTTATGGAAGGTACGTTTTGTTCGTGCTCTTCAAATATTCGAAAATCTACCGTAGCATGTTTGCGCAGGAAACACCATCACGTCGTTTGTTACACTTAGATCACCACACAATTGAGTTCGAGCAGAGCTTGTTACCCTTGCGACAATGTATCTATATTTCATTCAACACTATCTGTGAGGCTTACAAGGAGTAACCATTTTTTTTCGAATAAACTGAATACTTTTCCTAGAGTCACCAGCACTTCAGCATGAACAGTGTTGATATGCGTAATTGGCCTCACTAACTTGTTAGAATGACGCTGATTGCTACGTTAAGAGCTATTCTTGCCGAAAAATGGTTTAGTATGTTTACTCATTTCTTATTTTTCATTAGTGAAACACATAATATCGTGACTCTAACTGTCGCATTCGTTGTATGGTCGGTCAACTTTCAGCTTTATTTTAGCAGTAATACTTTTTTCATTATACTATACGATGTCATACTATACGACTATCATCAATTATGTGTGTTTTATACGATTATTATTATCTATAGGTTGTACGCAGAAAGATCAGCTGTGCAAGGCGTCTGTACGGATGCAGGCAACACTAAACAAGAGTTTGAACGAGTTCGTTGAATCAGTGAAAAACGATCTCGTCGTAAAGATGCCACCCGATGGAACTGTCCACGAGCTTACCTCGAATGTCATGATGATGCTTGAAAGATTACTCTCATTCGTCGATATGGTTAGTTCCCAGTATAAAATTGAATACCCCCATATTTTATTCGAGAATGTGTTAAGCAAGACCGAAAATAATTGTTTCCTATTTATTAGAGTAGAGTTCAATGTAACAGGCTACTATTGGACCATATTGTTAGTATTTTTCCTTCCTAAGAGTAGCGGAGTGATACGGAAGCGGACTTTGCTCAAATAAATAATGAAATCGTCCTCTTTTCGTGGATCTGGATTTCGGTTATGATGATTTCTATCATTTGTATGCGTTGGAGAAAATCATTGTTCGTGATAGAGTTAGCCGGTCGGTCCTTAAGTGTTGAGATGAAGTGTTGAGCTTATTAAACATTGATGAATAGAGGCTTTATAGTGCAATAAACTTTTAAACCCGTACTGTTTTTTCTCAATGAACAGCTATTGGCCGTACTGTATAGGCGGTCTTGGTAAAAGTACAGAAAACGATGTACGCCCGTTTTGCATAAATATTTCCATTAAGTGGACTTCATTCATAAATAAACGTGTTAGAAAACTTACCATACGATTACAATGTATATTTAATTATATTCTTATAATTAAATTCTTAAAAATACATACCCTTCTCGCAGGTCGTGCGATATGCAGTTGTGTTAGGAAGCCAAAATCTTTATGAAATCTTCTCATAAAACAGTATCTTAGTAGTAGAACCCAGTGTTACCTCAATTGGAATGATGAGAAGATCGATCTGGAGAGAAACCTATATTAGACTGTTGCTTATTGAACAATACTTGCCTTTTTGCACAGTTTTGCTGGAATCCCCTATCTTTCGTGCCCAGTGCCGCGGATATCTCTCCAATACGGAACAGTGCTGTCGTAAAGTCTAAACGCATAAAGTCAGGTCGCAAGACATTGCCGACAGTGAACAAACAATCGAAGGTGCTATCACCAGAGAAAGCTGACTTTATCTTCGCACGGGTAATAGAGAGTGTTTACGGCGGGTTTCGTATCTGCTATTCTCCTTTTTGGTCTTGTACTGGAGCCCGAACGCATGCCTGATGACACAAATGTGACTTGTTCGTCAATTTCTCATCCGTCCAATTGTGATCGCCGCTTGAACAACCTGAACTTTTGTTCGTCATAGTACTTTGCGGCTACACGTTACTTCTGAAAGGAGATCTATCCTACTAGGGTTATTCTAACTCGAGTATTTATAAAATGACTTGGCTAAGGTCTTAAAAAAGCCTAATAATCTACCTCAGTAGATTTTTCATTTGAAAAAAACACTCGGTTAGGCCGTAGGATTTTGTTTCGTGAATACCTCGTGTTACTTTTTTTCGTTCTAAACAGTATGTGAATTAGTTTTCAAAAAAGAAAATCACCCTTACCCTTCCCGCCTGATACCGTGTTTTTGCTTATGGCAATAAAATATCGCTGAGCTCTGTTTGCCACATGACTTGAGTGGCCTCAATCGACCGCGTTTGATTGCTTCTGGTCCTATATTTACAATTATTCATCTGAGCATCATTCAGTAAAGTAAATTATCTATCTACAGCTATCTGGGTGCTCCAGGGTCTACAGTGTATTTTTAAAGCTAGGAGTTCCAATTACTTCAAACAGCTTTCATTGGAAATTTCTGTCTCCAAGCTTGAAGGCCTTGCTACCTTTTTGAATTTCTTAACTGTTTCTTGTCAAGGTTTGGTATCTTTATCCTTTAAAAGCATTCTTGATCTTCGTGTGTCCACTCCCTTAACGGAGCGACTGCTTCAGATTGCCCTTCAGTTTCTTAGAGCGACTATTTGTTGAAGCATTCCAACTTACGTGGGTCGGTGTCATAATAATCACAGTATCGTACATGGACTTCGCGTTTTCCAGGTGGGCAATGTCCTTGTCGTGCCGGATTTAACCAAATTATCAAAGGCAGAGGACCGTAATCGATGTACTTTGTCGCAATATGTCCATATGGTTTTGTCTGCTCTCAGCCTTAACATTAATAACAAGGCCGAAAACTATACCGACGAATACCTTCAGGTAGGTCTTTTCATTTCCCTGACCTTATGAGGAAAACATGCCTCGCTTTAATGCGCGATTAATGGAGACTTCAACAATGACAGCTGATTTTTTTAGCACGACAGCAGCTTGTCAGTATAGATATTACTTATTTTATTCAGCCGTAGTAACATGATTTAGAATATTATATATATCGACCACTTGCAAACTAGAAGTCTCAACTGCAGTCATTTTAATCAGTATCATTTGTTTGACTATTGCGGGTAATACAGGCCATCTTTCGACTCAACAATTTGCATTATGTATATCAGTCACTGCAGCGAAGTGGTTTACTAGAGGTAGTTCAGGAATTCTATCCATCAATGGGCGATCACTACCTTGAAAACCTTCGTGAAGAGAAGAGGAAGTATTCACAAAGCTGGAGCCATGTTTTGCACTATATCGTTGACGTAAGTCCATTATTTTAGGTTTATAATATTAGCCATGCACAACTGTTTTTGTCATCAATAAATATTTTGCGTTCGGTTGTCCGTTCGTGCGAAAACACACGTTAGTCCGTCGCAAGGGCGCAGTACCTTTCAATGTAATTGATGATGTGTTTTACAAGACATCAGTGGAAATATATGCGACATGTTTTCAGTTGGACCGAAGTCTTACAGTGGCCTCTCCTCGCAGTCCGACCGATTCACAAAAAATGAAAGAAAAAGATCGCCAGATTATTAAGGAGAAATTTGCCGGCTTTAACAAAGCTATGGATGAGATACTCAGGTAATACTAACAAAAAACAACGCTTAATTTCAATTTCCCAATTTTAATAAATCTCAGTAATTTATAAAAGCGTGAGGAATATCGTATTATTTAACATTGATCGACAGTTATTTGTCTGACTCGGATTTCAGAACTCAAAAACAGTACGCGGTTCATGACGCTGAACTGCGAGAGACGATCAAAAGGGACAATGCAGAGTTCATCGTACCCAAATACAGGTATGCGACAGTGTTAAGTCTTATGGTCATGTGGAATTAAGCAGATTTGTCCTCTTGCGATATTAAATAAGGTTTCATAAGATAATTGGTAAGTGAAGCCTTTGTGATGTGTCGGTCTTTTATGACTTCCCGCATTTTAAAATGGAAATCGAATCGAATTTCAGTCGGTATTAATTTCAAATAGAGCAGTGGTAACTGGCTAATCGAACAGTTTGTCCGTACCTGTATTCGTGTCTGTGTGAAATTTGCAGACTTTTCTACAACACCTATAGTGATGTACCGTTCACCAAAAATAGAGATAAGTACATCAAGTACACGCCAATAGACATCTCTGATATGATCAACATGTTCTTTGACACTTCGGCATAAAAGATTTTGTTTTAAAGTCTTTCATGGCCAGCCGAACAGATTCTTTTAGATGACGGGGTCCTGAAACAAAGACAAAAGTAGGCCACAAGGGAGCGTCAGTGTGTGGTGTTCTTAGTCAAGTATATTTGTGTATACATATAATGTATTCCGGTAATTATTTTGTGATGCTCTAATTTAGATCTGCAGTTTTATATTTTCATCTTTATTTAATAAAGTAAATTTATTTTCATGCGACATAATGAGCATGGGTGTTCAGTATACAATATGTAATCGAACATTTCTATTTATCAACATGAATTAAAATTATTTCCACGTATTTCCGAATTAAATAAATTTTGTTGCTCAGTATTACTTAGATCTGCCATTAATTGTTTAGTAGTTGAATCTTTTAACCAATTTGTGATTTGAAGGCGTCCTTCCTAATGGGCCGGAAGGCCAGTGGCGTGGTCTATGTGGACTGAAGAGAGTACAGTTAATTTCTTTTGCCTATCATATGCAATGTTTACTAGGTTGTTTTGCAAACTTATATTTATGCTAGAAAAGTTACTAGCAATGGCACTTGCTCTGGCACACCTTTAGGAAGCGACGACAGGTACGGTATGGAATCACCAACTGTCTTGCCGTATTGCTATAATGGATGTTGCGAAAATTGTTTGCGCTTCTTGTTGGATTTCCGAGTTATGCAAAATTTATGATTGGTTGCTATAAGACATATTTTACCGCCAGAAGTCCGGCCGTCAAGGCTGGTCGTATTGGATCCGCATAAGGAAAGTTCAACTTTATAATACCTCAGGTATCGGTGCTTGGGCATTCGTGTGTTGGGTGTTCGTCGCTTGGTAAATTTTTTTCTGCTGAAAAATAAGGCGGATAGCATTTCTGAAATGATCACGTATGCAAATGGCACAATAATGTCATTTTGCTTCAAACTCACTAGACTTTTCGCTGAGGTACTGACAGGTTGACCCGCAAGCTTGAGCTTTCATATACTATGCAATCATCGCGGCGCTAAGGAAACTTGAAAAGATTGCTGTTCTTATTGAAGCTCTTCTTCTAGAATATATAACACGCTGCTATTATAAGTTCTTTACTACAAACTTTCGATATGTGAGGGAGGTGGCTATCGAAGAGACAGTTTCGTAGGGCGCAAACCATTGGGACCAATGACCTTAGAGCCACGCTGTGGACAATGGAAGTCAATCCGAGTTGTTTCTGTCAATAGTCTGTATACCTCGCGCAAATTTTTCCTCATTTACAAAATGAATGTAGAATATTCATTTTCGTTTTCAAGATGTCAGAATTGGTGATTCTGTCTCAAACAAATCTGCCACTCACTGCTCTTGTCAACTGCTATAATCAGCAAATTAATGCGTTTGCAGAAGTGCTTTTTTTAGACTAAAAGCTAATTTTGAAACTAGTAGTACTAATAAAATAACAACATTGGGGAGACTTACAGGGAATAGCAGTTCTTTTTTCATATCAGTCAAATAAACTGAATACTTTTTTTATGTTTAAGAACTTCCAGTGATTTATCCCGGACGCTGCTGACACACGTGGTTTATTAACTTATTGTTTTATAACTTAATCGAATGACCCTGAGTGTTAAGTTAAGATTTATTCTTGCCGAAAAATAGGACAAATAACTACGGTTTAATACCTTCGTTAATTTCTTATTGTGCATCATTGAAACATATAATACCTTGACTTTAGCTGTTGCACTCGTGGTACGTTACTCGGTCAATTTACAGCTTTGTAGTTCTTTTTCACTATACTCTGTGCTAACTATACGTATCATCACTACTCGTACTGAATCACCGGTGACTTTTAAAAAGTATTCACTTTATCGGATTAATATACAAAAAACCATTACTCCCTGTGAGCTTCGCGGATGTTTGTTACTTGTTAATGTTATTAGTAATTGTTTTATTACTAATACCAGTAGTAAAACTAATTCTCCAGATTACCAAAAAACTGAATACATCTACTAAAATTTTTGTCATTAATTCAGAGCAAATCTATTATTTAAATGAAAATTGCACACATTTGACAAGATTCTGGCGGCGCATACCTAAACAATTTTGTCAAAGCACATCCATATTCCCGTGCCAACAGTCGGTTATTTTTAAATTGATACTAATACAGCTAAAAAAACACTAGGCTAACTGTCCCTATTTTTTTAAAAGCTAAATATCCCCTTTGGCGGTCCTTTTCAGTTGATTAAGTAAATGACAACCTTATGGGTGGCAAATGATATCACTAACGTGAATATATATCCTTAAAAGTAGCTACCTTCTTTTTAACACAAATATGTATGGCACAATCGTGACATACGGTAGAAAAAAAAATTGTAAATTTAACGATGCGAGCAGTGCTTCCGATACGATACTACGAGAGTGTTTTCCTCAACGATAGTCCTTGGTACACAGGCCATTTTTGCCTTCGACTCCTCCTAATGATAGTTAACCTCCTAATGATAGTTAACCTCGTAAATATAAAATGGATACGAAGTGTCGGAACTGCTTGACGTATAGTATGCTCACCGTGCCAGTGTAATTTACAGACAAAAACAGTATGTGGCTTTCTCTTCTGTGCCCTGAGTGTGCATTGAGTACAAGTTAACGTAACTTGGCTTGATCCGTGGTTTCTATAACTTACGTTAAGTTACGTTATAACCAACGGACCAGGCACATCTGGAAAACCTTTCAAGGGTGCCTTGTTTGATCTATCGGGATCGGATCCATTGCGCACTCCTGCACATCCATCGTTCATTGCATCCATCCTGCACCATTGCGGGCAAATCTTCGATAAAAAAGCAATTTTGAAAATATCATCTGCATCTGGCCTATATGGAGAAAATGCCAATGGCAACCTGCAGCGTTAATATCGTAGCATCTAAAGCTAATTCAAATGGTGATTCTACTGTCCATCTTCCGGCATGAAGTTGTCCTCAAAAGCTAAGTATATTTTCGGATTTTAGAATAGGCATAACTCGATACTTCTAGGTCGTGGCCGCTCAATTACATCAATTGTCAAATGATTCTAAGAGTAAGCATTGATAGCGGTGATAAAAATGACGTTTGACCCAACTATTTTTAACAAAAAAAGCATGTTTATTCATATAACGGAAACTGTCAAATATTAAACCGTGTTCGTCACATCGAGTCATGTTTCACCATTTTACGCTATTTTACCTTTGCAAACGATTGCCAAAACTATGAACTTACTCAAGTGAATTTAGGCAGAAAGTTTGCATTAACTTATCGCGTAGATAAAAATGATTACTGTGGTTAAATAAATAACGTAAACTGACGTTGGAAAATATAGACCGGAAACATAAGACCGTGTTGTCGAATATTGCAAAATAGATTCAGTTGAAATTCACAAAATGAAAGGGCCGCAGAGCGCAAGGCAAACAGTGCCTCCTTTTGTCCTAAGTTGCCATTTGATTTCTCTAACGCACTTCAACTTCAGAAGTTAATCTTTTATATATTCACGTTTCTCAAGTGCTGAGCTCTAGTCGTCATACAGAGCTATGACGATCTAGGTCAATGAAATGTGTTTAGACTTAGTCGTAGCCACTTACCTTTGCGCTTATGCATCAGGACATAATTATGAATTTTGAGTAATTAGATAACACGAAGTTAATAACGTATCTGAAATACCGCATCGAACGGTTTTCCTGAACAGCTTTAGTCGCATAAAATTCAAGTCCAGGTTCCGCATAGCACGATATTCCCTGCAGATTATTTGTATTACATTCATTATCATGCATACGCTGCTAGTAAATGCAAGTTAATGGAGTCTTCAACAAGAAACAGATAGAAGGTTAACGAGAACACAGACAGATGTATGATAGTCTATAGCGTTTGTTCCGTACAATCAGATACTATCTTCGACAGAAGTCGCAACCTTCAGCTACATTGTCTTGTCACAGGCTCTTTCTTTTAAAGGCAACCCGGGTGCTGTGGTGAATTTGTGAAACAATGGCTACACAGATTACCGACGAAATTCGGATATACTACGACACAAATATCGTATGAAGAGTTTCATTTAACTATGAAAATCTTTTTCAAACAGTCTTGCCTTCGCTAAGGAGACGCCCAAACATCCAATTGTTAGTACTTCCCAGTGAAAAGGCTGCAAATATGAGATCTCTTTTATGTAACATCACCGCTCGCTTCGCGGCATTAGTTGCACTTGGAACGTTCTGACGTAAATGTGTATCGTTTCAAAATAATTTTTGTGACTCACCCCATTCTAGCGGCTACCTTTAGCACTTTAGCTAAACCTAGGTAAAGGTTTCGAGTGTTACGTTCCGTACTGCCGTTAGGCATCTCTTCGAACTTTGGTTTGCGTGAGGCCTAATCGGTTTACACTTCACAGCAAAGACACTGATACTATATCGTTTAGTATCAAACATGTCGATCGCTCTATTGCGCAGACATTGCTTAATTACTAATAGACAGCATCTTAGCTTTGTTATAAGCCTAAGACAAGACTGAAGCAGTACACCGATATATATATTCAAATATAAAAGAAACCTGCTTTTCAGTGTGTCAGAATTTGTCTAGTGTGCTGTCGTTCGAATGCTAAGTGCTCCTGTAAAAAATTTTCATCTCATGTACGAATCGAGCTGAATTTAAGAATGGCAGTTTAGTACGCTGCAGGACGGGGCGCATTGACTTCCTGCATTCGTAAGGAAATGTTGAGGATACCGCCGTTCAGGCCAAGTCAGCACACCAGTTTAGATTTATCATTCTTGTGAAGAATTTTTTTAGCAGTACGTAATGTAAGTCATTCACAAACGTTTCGCATAGCCGAGTGTTATGAAAGTGCTAAAAATTCAATTTAATCCAAAGATAATTTGTCGAATCTGTGTGTGTTTTTGTCTCACCTGAATCAATACGACGAAGGCGGCTGATAAATATTTCTTGGTCTTACAAATAAAGCATGGTTTCCAGAACATACAGTTCGCTTTATAGGCCAATCCGGCTAGAATTATCCAATGAAGATTTGCTGATCGAGTTCGACGTCTTAACATGGAGTAATAGTTAGAACACTAGTTTGCAACCACGAAAATATAAACATCACGTGAAGCCGAAAAGCCAACATTACACTACAAGCGTAACAGCTGTATAGTTCAGTAAAAGACCCGCGAAAGAATTGCCTCCTTAAGACGTAGTTATTTTTTTAAATTGTATTGCATAAAGTGCATAAGTGTTTATAAATCGTGTTTAGTAATGTCTGTGCTCGTGCGTTTATCGCAATTAGAACTTCGTTTCGTCTGAAGCCGCTGGGTTGCAGCTAACCGATTTAACATTGAACTTTCGACTGGTTCGACCGTTTGATAATGCTAAAAATTAGTGAACATGTTATATGGTCTATGTAAGTACTTCTGAAACTAGTCTATCAATGACTATAACTGTTTCTACCAATATCCTCATTATCTGGTTAACGGAAATAATAACTATTGTCATGATGACTAGAACTGCCGAATCTATATCTAGAAGAGACCACGGGTCGCTACTTCACTAGCTACCCGCAAACACTATGAAAATTAGTATTCCTCGGTGGGACGTGATCGGATAGCTCTGCGAACATCACTGCCTACGATGAAAGGCAGTTGAATTACTTTAGCCGGAACCGGGGTCACCGGGGAGTCTCGTGAAGAACTTTCTCATAAAGAATTTTTAGCAAAAAGGAAACCAGGTTGACTGTTCGCAGTACAGTTTCTAGTCGAGCGGTCGTGATAATCTATTACAAATATAGTTAAAAACGTGCAATCATTTATCGCTAAATACAGTCTAGCAAGGAAGTGTTGTTACATAATTGATATATCAGTTCTTACTTCAATGAAGCAAGGAAAGGGAAGGGTTCCGTAGCTGTTATGTCACTGCTCCGGACTTTTATCTCGAACCAGCGAGCGCCGTTGGTGCCCAGGCCATCGACATTTACAACTGGACCAATTCCTATTCGTCTTATCGTTAGCCCATGACCCACACAAGATATACTATACAGTTATATATATATAGATATAAGTAAAAAGGTTTGAATGACATTAACTGTGCACTATTCAATAAGTCTATTCATTTACACAATACACAGGGCTTGAGCATCTCTTGAATATTAGTGATTTGAATTGATTTTTATATAATCACGATTAAGATCACTTAGTTCAGCCACTCGCATGAGTTTTGTGAGAACGGTTACCGTCCCTGAGGTGTAACTTCAAGGATATATATCTATATATACATACATATACCCAATATATAATCCTTATTTACGACACAATCTAATTATCTATATGTTCATTTTAATTTGACAACTGTTGGTCGACTCGAATAGAATCAATTACATCCGGATTATTAATGGAGGACTAACGGAACACCCTCAAAACGCGAGTACTTTTATAAAAGAGACTTACTATACATTGATGCCAGAAGTTATTTTCCGATCGACAAACGCTACATATATAACGGAACAAAATTATTTATTAACCTACTATGGTGGATGTTGAAGTCGAGTAAGTTTTGAACTACGCGTCACTAGCAGACAATTTGGCTAATAATAAATACTCTCGAAATTTGAGCAGAAGATGAGTTTATTCCAGAAGACAAGTTCAAAAAGAACAGCTTCTTTAATCGCAAAAATCAACACTCAGTGATTAAGTTTTTGTTCGTCGAAGTCCGCAGCGCTGCAGATCTTTATTAGTTATTTGTGAAGACATGAGGCAAAGAAGTCTCGAGCGAAAGCATAGCACGTAAATGGCGCAAATACTTCAAGGACAGAGATTGGTGTGTTGAATACCGGCGATGAAAGCATTGATTGGCCATTAATTACGGAGTAGTAATTACCTGATTTAAATAGCTGCTTATGTTATTTGGTTTTTGTTAGTTATTCGAATCGTAATATCTATGAGCCAAGCCTGTTTCTTAATACAAGCAATATGGTTTTATTAAAAAATTAATTTATTTGCGTAAGTCATGTTCAGTGAGGTGTGCTTCACTAGTCCGAGAGAATAACAACACTAAGAGTTTGTCATCTAAATAAGTTCAAGTTAGTTTCAATTAGGATCTTATACGTCCACTTTTTGCCTGTCACAAAAAGTTATATGTCAAAAAAAGCAAATATCATAAGTGATTAATACCGAATTCAGAATTATTTGAAAGTCACGTTCGATACCTTGTTCTGCTCAGAGCCATGGCTAGAAAGAGTGTAATCGCATGTCTTCGCCGAAGTTTTCATCGAGTTTATAATTTTCTCGATCCATGATGAATAAACTGAGACTCGCGCATAGCCGCCGAACGGCATTCCCTTCACGGCGCAGCCGACTCCGAACGAGGTGACGCCTTCAACCCGGTAACGGCCGTCTTGTGCAAGTCGAATTAGAGGACCTCCAGAATCACCCTAGATAACGATTACATTGCAGCGTCACACGTATATATGTGCAAGCCCAAAATGAATTTCTGTATCTTGGGTTTGCACGTCTCATCTGTCAATTAGGTAGTGTCTTGTGACTTCGTTGTACAAGTACGTACATCTAATTCTTTAATATTATCTCCTGATTATCTAGCACCTTTAACGCACAACAGCTGTAATGTGAGGTCGAACTCCCGCCTTAGAAGACATCTGTACATACAACACCAAATAGTAATATGTATGAGTTTATCGTTCGAAAACAGGTTTCGGCTACACTAGTCGTGAGCGAAAAGCTTAGATGCGCCGCGGGAAAGGCAAAAACGAAGGATCGTTGCTAAAAATTTGAGTCACGATCTTATACAGATCACGGTCAATTCCTTGACCTCAGCAGGAAGGCGGTCACACAGCCGTGTCATAGATTTATGTGTAATTGTGTATAATACGAGTAGTACCTGGCAAGCGTCCTTTACGTTCTTCTCGATATCTCCTGCGCACATTTGAATGTTTGTATTAATTAGTATGTAATCCTTAAACTGGTCCTTACAGGCGCTGTTACTGCCACCAGTAACTCGGATTTCAAGTAACTGCATAGTTAGATCTAAAGAAAGAAACAAAGCATAAATACACACACGGATAAGCTTAGTACTTGACGGATACTGTGATAGTCAGAGTAGTCTATGGCCTGTTCTGCTATTTGACTCAGAATCTGCTTTTACTATACTTAATATTACTTTCCACGCTTTCTAAGCCATGATGCAGCGACAGTCACTTATCTCCTCATTAAATTTCAGGACATAGTTGCAATACAGTAGTTTAACACATTTACTTCAATATGGCTGATTTTAAGTGATACAAAACCACTACGTTTGGCTGTTAGCCTTACTTGTGATATCACGTTGTGTGGATCCCCAACCGGCGATAGTGAATTTTTTGTTGTTAATATCCTCTGCTCTCTGAAATGTATTAAACGATAGAAATAAGAAACTACATATATATAGTTTCTTACTCCTATTGTATATATATATATATATATATATTGCTTAACTGAGAAAGCATTTTAATTTTACTAGAGTCTATAACTTAGATATTTTAATTTTAAACTGGGTTCTGTTAATAATCATGTCTCTGAATGAAGGACCTTGTACGGTCAACAGATGTGCTCATTAGGTGAACACACACCTTCTGCTTATATATATCACTAAGAAGTTTATCATGAGTGCAGCCTTTCGTGCTTCTATTATATATATATAATAGAAGCACAGAACTTAACGTCACGACTTGAACATAAGGTGGTTTAGATAATATACTCACATCTGTAACTGGCGGGAGGCAAATTGTTCTGACCCATTTTCCACTTACGTCAACGGGTTCGTTGAGTTCTGCAATGGCTATATCGTTATAGAAGTTTTCGGGTTTATAATTCTTGTGAATGGCAACACGACAGAGGCGTCTTGTAATTCGTTTTGCTTCATCTGTAAGGGCGTTCGTGCCGCCTATCGCGAAGAAGCTGCCACGTACACCCGCAATCAAAAACGAAGATAAGTAGTCAATCAAACTGTAGCATGTAGCCGGTAGAATTCAGAAAAGTGTCGCCAGCAAGATACAGACTAACACGGCGATCAACGGTTTTATATATATTTTATGTACATGTATATATAATAATTTTACTATTTTTACTAAATATTTTACTAAATAGTGTCGTGCTTAGTTTAGAGATGATCGATTAAAACATCGTTCGTATCGTGTATACAAAAAAGTGTTATTTAATAAGACATTGTGATCTATATTGAAGATATTTGCAAACTCAAATGTAGCCAGGCTTACACGGTAAAAATAAGTTTCCTACTGCGATAGGAAATCTTCTTTCAAGACCAATCTATTGGACCGGGTTGGTTGACTAAGCAGCGCTTACATAACATTGGGTTGTCGTTATTATGCCCTTCAAATTGGATTAGAAAAATTTTAAATCCTCATACAGTGTGGGATATGCAATTTCTTTCTAAGGTGTGAAAATATAATAATAAATAGAAAAGAAGCGGCGATATATATAGTTGTTAAATAAGAGCTCAAGATCCCAACTCAATAGAAAATAAGTGACTCAAATTTTGGGCAGATATATATTTTCTAAATATATGCGTGAAAAATTTCCCAAGTTGACAATCCGTCAAATCTTTAGGGATTGCACGAATGGACCGAATTATTGATAGACTTGTTTGAAAAAGCTGGGGACTTAAGTTCTTAATCAAAGTTTTATATCACAAGCCCCATTTAGCCCTCCTCGAATTATTTTGGAATCATAATAAATCCATGAAACGAAGTTCACGACGATTCCGTAACTTAAGGCTTGAAACATTTTTGCAGGTAGTTTATTGTTGAAAAAACAATCCTGGATTATAAATAATATAATTATATTTTAGCTCGCTTGTATGAAACGCTAACGTTCTGGAATAATCTACGGTCATTAGGGAATAAATTTATTAACATATCATGGCTAATCTGACTCGGTGTATCGCGTTGTCGATTATGTGGAAATGACTGTTTATGTACCAATATGGAATGAAGCACGCAAAAAACTTCTCTTGCCTTCGATAAACGTAAAATAAAGCAAGTTTACCTTCGTAAATTTAGCGGAAATTTCTGACTCTCAGGGTTAAAACAGTGAGCCGCTGTGAGAACGTAGCGGTTGGTTATGAGAGCTCCTCCGCATACAAAGTAGTTGTTGGAGAAGATCGCTACGAGCCAGGGATGCGCTCCTTCAACAGCCTGTACCCCGTTGATAATGCGGAACCTACGGCTAAATTCTCGACCGCAATCTAAAACAAACAGGATTTATTCACTATAGTCATACACTATAGGGCCAATATTTAGTTTACTAAAAACCTGTAGAATTTAATTTTAGTTATTCATCATAGCCTACACGATCGAACAGGCTGCCATTGATTTTTTGATAAATCGATTATTTTCCCTTGAACTCCCGTATGCTAGTCGTTTTGAGCGCTACCGAAGCTCCGATAGCGCTGTGAATTCCTCAGCGAATCAATAATAATTAATCCGACTGTATAGGTCTCGTAACCGAAAAACTATCGCCATTTTTTGGAAATAAATAACTGAATTTTTTAAATAGTATATTTAGCATAGAAACCTTCTTGTATCGACGCAACTTGTCCGCAACTTGAAAGATTCCAATACTAACCCTAACAAACTCCTACTCCTTATTTCAAAGCGCGTATGGTTCTTCGAATACGAACTTCTTTGTTGTTCTGTTGGCCATGCTGAAATTTTTCGGAAGGTATAACCACCTATATTTCACAGTAGGTACGCTAACGTTTGAATTAAACGGGGTGATACTCCGGGAACATAAAAGAGCGTCCGGTTCGAAACAATGCTTTACCCTCACATTTAACAGTGACAACATGCGAACGATATCAACCTAAAAAATGAACGCAATCGAATTCGGCGTATCTTTTGTTGCCAGCCGGGCTCGAATAGAAAGATTCATGGCGAAAAGTCTGCCGCCGTGTTCAGACCGCGACCGAGGCAGTATGGCTTAAAAAGAGATTTGGCAAATTTAAGACCGCCGTGTCATTCAAAGTCATCTGTGACCGATGGTTTTTTTTCTACCAAAGATGCACATAGAAACAAAACCACGTAAAACAATTCGGTACGTTAGCGTACAGCATGCTATATGCTCACCTGCTTCGTTCAGCTGTGTCGGATCTACTGAATCCAAATGATCAAGTCTGTTTTCGAAACGAGCTAAGGGAAGTGGACAACAGATCTGCCGATGATGACATTTACGGGCGCGTTTTCTGTCGGATTGTTGAACTGATAAATATCCGTCGAGCTCTTCGGCATCATCGCAAGTCGAAAAGCAGCCCCCGACATTGCCATTGCTCGTGATACACACCGAGCCAACAGAATAACTTCTCGTTTCAGCTTCTCCTATTAGCGGAGATTTTGAACAAATAGAAATGTAATATCTCGGATTACCAAATTAACTCGAACACATAGGCAAATAAGTTCAAAAACGTTTACGGTGCTTTTTTACAAAAGTGACATACTTTTATATCTGTGTATTCGAATAAATTTTATCCCTTATAACCTGATTGCGAAACATCCATACATACATCATAATCTCTATTAAAATAACTAAAATCTAATCTAGATAGTTAGAACATTTCTGTGGTTTAATTTGAGCAGGATGCCTGTGAGAAATTTTCCGCTCATAGTGAACTGCTGATAAAGTTGTTATCAAGTTGTCATTAAACACAGTGTTGTCATTAACGCTACCAGAAGTACGTAAATCGTGATTTTTTGGCACTATTGAGACTAAAATCTGGGCTCGATGCCTCCATCTTATGAGCAAACAAAGTAATCATGCGACCGACAACGACGAGTCTCGTTGTTAGTCTCTCTTCACGTACTTCGAACGAGTTCATGAAGTGAAGTGTTGCCGATTTGGCCGATATACAATATATCAATCACAAAACCGGTTCGTTGTCCTAAAAACATACATACAAAGCTAAACAGGTGCGGGATTAAACCCGCGATATTGTACTAAAGCTAGACATATGTCTGTGCGTGTAACTGTCACCAAATGTGTTTATCGGAATTGCTATTGCTTGTCTGAGTGTAATTTCTAGTCAGAGGGCAATCAGCCTGGCCGCCGGCGCGTTCGTTCGTTCGTTCACTCATTGTTTAAGTTTACTAGTTAAACAAGCGTAAACGAAGCTGCAGACTATGTCTTTAGCACAGCAGTAAACGTCGACGTATGTCAGTGTAGCGCAAGCCGCTCCAGAGCTGCTGGTAAGTGGCAGACCAGCTGCCAGGAATCGAACGGCTATCCAGTTCGCTACAATGCAGAGCTTGCGAGACCTCCGTCGTACAAGTTCGGGCAAAGGGGATGCGGGGGGGCTAAGCACTTGGGATCACCTTATTGTGATAATTGTCCAGGCTCAGTTATCAAAAAACGTCAATGGAAGCTACTAGCGAGTCCGATGTGATTGGACAGTGACGCTAGTATTTTCCTTTAAGAAACGTTGCAGGTTTCTAGCTAGCGCTAGATCTGTGTCTGCCTGCGTGTAAAGCGGGTCGTTTCGAAGCTGTGTTATCGCTCTAAGCTGCAGGTTGGGGCGTTCAAGTGCAGCTTTATTATGTTTTTAGCAAGCTATATGTAACATCGAAAGCACATATATATCGAACATAAACAAGTTAGTAAATTACGATGGTCTTTGTATAACCAATTACCTTACACTATTAACAATACGTCTGATCAGTTCGGACTGTTATTTCCAGCATTCGTCAGTATTTTCATTAAGAAATGTTAATTACACTCTATTATTATATGCATTCAAGTATATATGCGAGGCACTTATAATAAAAACTGACTAAAATGTAAAGCATTTTTTACCAAAAAATTTGTGATGTTAATTTTTTCCTATATTATATATATTCTAGAAAGATTTCACCAGTAAATGGTATGAAACATGGAAGACAAGAAGCAACTCCAGTTTAACTTAGCATCGGATGTGCCATCGCAGGGAGATGTCTATGGTGAATAGAAATGTACTGAATAACTTCGAAAAAATAGCAACTTCTGTAGACATGTTCTAAACTAAAACGAAGAAATCTGTAGAATAAGACTCGTTCTAGGCCTCGTTTCTAGAAAAAAAAAAAAAAAAAAAAGAAGTTAAAGCTCACGAGGCCGAGTAGCACAAATTATCGCGATCAATTAGCTGTTTTAATACTTTTGGCGCGACTACCATTTTCAAATTAAAGCAGGCATATTTTTATTGAACCAGGCATTATATTAAGGCATAGTGTACTCGTATTAGCAAGCAGGACAACAATTTACAAAATAATAATAATATGCTACTACTGTATTAGTTGAGCCCAGAACTTAAACGAAACACCATCGACTTGTCAAAAAAACTAACTGTATAATGAGTAGTTATCAATACATTTTCTAACTTCTATCAGAAAAACACTATCCTATGAAAGGGACTTTAACTAGAACTAGAAACTGTTTAACAGACCTCGAATAAGTACGTAATGATTCGTGGTTATGCCGCAGTGTGAAAGCCATCCAAAAACAGTCTTAGGATGCCCTTGTATCAGGTTAACTAAATAATTTAAGAAAAAAACTAAACAAAAGTTGCACGCTTGTGTTATTGCAAAGTGTGGTATATCTCGAAGAGCAGACTTCTATTGAATTGGTTCCATGTCAGACTAGACCCACTTTATATTCCATGTTATTTAACATGAATATGTTATATGAATAAGTTTTTCAAATGCATTTTAACAGCAATGCCGAGCAACTGGCCAGGTCTTGTGGTTCATCAGGCGGTAAAGAATATTTATACAGTTGATTTATGCACTGGCCATATTCTATAGGATTTTAAGAAGTTTTCAGGGACGCAATATACTTACCATTCCCATCAATCCGACAAACGGGGCTTCATTTGCTACACGCGCACAACATACAGTGCATATACATGGAGAAGTTGTTGCAAGATATAGAAGAGCAGCATTTTAGGTTCGTCTGGACAAATATACAGCTTCTGCGTCTGTTCAAATCTGTTTGCAATTTATAATGAACTACTTAATTGGATAATGCTAAAGTGTTAAAAGTAAGTTTAGTGTCAATTGAATGACTATCTGGAATTTCTAAGTTCTTGACCTCTTGTCGCAAGTGATGAACACATCGACTTCGTGTTTTTTTTTTCAATAAATATTTAACAATATGCATACGATAGGGAGTACTTGAAATAATAAAGATAGATATTCCCAAATATATGTACACGGTAAGTGTGATTGTGAAGCTAAAAGAAACAATGTATCTAGAGCCATGTTATATTTGCGCTATTGCTTGTGCACCTAAAGTCGAATCGAAACAAATCGCCGCTTTAGATTTGTAACAAGTATGCGGCGTTGTTGCATGTATACCTATTTATCGTATTGTTGCTGTGCAATTAGGTGGGGCTGGGTTTTTTTTTGCCACGTTCGTCCCTCACCCCAGATCACTTATCCGATGCTACAAACCACAAACAGGCTACACCTTTGATCAAACTTACCTAGCACTACTGTAAGAGCACATAGCAAAAGCAGGCCGCACATCACTGTAGATAGAAGGTTCCAGGGCAGGCATCGGCCTTTCTATAAGAAGCGATCGAGAGGTTTCGATATGATAATAAGATCATTACGCAATTTGCAACATGATCGTAAATAGGTACTTTCATATAGTCGACCATCGCAACGTGAACGGGAGAGGATAATTATGGAATGCTGAAGCGGCAAACGAATCTGGGAGGCTCCTAGCTGATTCTTATGAAAAAATAATGGTGATGGCTAGGATTCACGGTCCAATCTAAAGCCAAATCCTTACCAATACGGGACGGTCAGAAGCAGTGGAGGGAGAAAAGATATCAAAACACAAATATATTGTTCAGGATCGTTTCGTATAGAAAATTCTTGGGGAGCAAGATATATAGGCCTCATAGGCCACGCATATACATTTTATGAAAAAAAACAATAGGAGATTTGTAGAGCTAGGGTTCTTTTCTTTGCGCTTTTAGCAGACATAGGCGACCGACAGGCACAAATTTTTTCTTGCGTTTGGAAAACGAATAGATGGTCTCTGGCATTATGATATTTTTCACTGTGTTTACAAAAAAGTAAGAGTTCCCAAAGCTAGTCTTAGACTTCCACGTAGGACGGGTTGTGGAAAAACAAATGGCTGTTCATAACTAAGTTAGAGTATAAAAAGACGCTGGAACAGGGGCGATAACACCACCCGATAACTCCTGTCCTGATAACAGATATGTCCTGAAAAGAAAAGTCACATATGACTGAAGTCGTTGCTAGAAAATATTTTACATTATTGAACATTTACGATGAGTACCCACTATGTTACCATCGATATAAATGAGTGTCAACGAAGGATTTCTAATTGCGAAATCATCGTCTTCGAAGTACTTCAGTACACACAAAGGATATTAATGAGAACATAAAAATGCACTCTACACAAAAACTGTAACTTTTGTCGTTATGTATTTAACTGATGTGATTCGTATGCAATTCCCATAAGTAAGATAAGTGAATTTAAAAAATTCGCGAGATTTCTACCGGCTCTATGTTTGAGGTAACCTCTCTTGCTGGGAAAAAGCGAATGCTAGAATGATTGGCAATGTATCTTCGGCAGTTTGATAGTACCTAGGGTAGATGCAAAACACAAAACGCTTCCAACACTCCATTGAACATAATCTTAGCCAAACAATTTGTGCCGATTAAACAACTGTGCACTGAGGCTATATAGCATCGTATCGATTCCAAACATACAGAATTTTCATTGTAGTTGAAAATGGAATACTCTATGAAAACGTGCAATGAAAGGTACGTTTATCATACGTGTATGCCACCTAATCGAATATTATGCTCACTGCCTATGTCTATTTTGTTAAGCCGCGCTAATCACTAATTAGCAGAGTTTTCGACGAAACCAAAGTACAGTTAAGTTGTCCGCAAATTATGAGAAGGAACGGCGTCGGGGACGAGCGTATACTGCAAGGGAAAAACCTGATTCTGTCGCTAGTAATTTTGGCTTTGCTTTTTTTCTTTTTATTACCCAAAAATCGTCTTTACTGAAAATTATCTGAACTTTACACTATTTCAATTGGGCATCAGTACAAGCCTTGATAGAGCGAAGCGCTTTTTCCAAAAGCGACAAACGCTTTAGGAGCTTCATGGTGAAATTATTAGAAAACACAAGTGTATTAATATTGGCCTGAAGGTAATTCAGTTGGACCTGACTACATTTGAATAGAACTATAACTATGTTCTTAATGGGTAGTTCCCTCTGCTGGAAGATAAACTTATATGAACTAGAGAGGCGGATGCGTAGAATCAGTTCGCTTAAGAAACATTTTGGTCCCTGTTTTCAAGCTCGACGGACGTCTATGCGGATTAATCGTTTACTAAAACGAAATTTAAAAGTACTTGTGTTTGTAGCTCCAGTTTGTCTCGATAGTCCGAGATGCTAGTCAGGAACTTTTGACCGACTTTGTAAACGCTTCTCAATGCTGTGACAAGGGATCGCCGAATACGACCAGAAAACCTTTGTTTCACCACTTCGGATTTGCTGAGCCGTTATGTTAATTGGACAATAGCAAGCACTATATTATTCACTTGTTGTATATCTGAACGACGTCATTTTTCAATCGCTTCATTTACCAACAAGCGCCAGTCAGAACTAATTTCCGTTTTCTGGTTTCTGCTATGGTCATGAAAGAAATTGTCCTACACGGAGTCATCCTCGGCCGGCGTGTGGTAACAAATAAACTTTGGCATAAAAGCATTCCCTAATGGATGGCCAACCAAAAAAAAAGCTCTGGAATATCTCAGCAACAATGTAATGCTATGGTACCGTTTCGCACTGGATGGCCAACGTTTGAACATTTGTGGTGCGTACACAGTTTTTTTTTCTTTTTTAAAAATACTTCTTATTTTGGCAATGATTATAATAAATGTTGCATAAGCAAGGCCATTTTGAAATAAATAACCGTCAAAGAGAAACTGGTGCGATGTAAAATGCAAAAAAAACACGTGCATGCTTTGTCTATTTAAAAAAGACAAACTCTTTACTAGTCTCCACTATATTTTACTTCCCTTCAATGCATATATAAACATATATATACTTTGTAAGAAATGTTACTGCGTAGATATTTGTTTACAAAAAGGAGAAATGGAAATAGGTTTTACGAAAAATGAGACTCAAGCATTATCTAATTTCTGACGTTTTTATGTAATTTTTGAAACTAATTTAAGGACAAATATGGAAGCTTTTTGAGAATTACAATTGTTATCAGCCTATCTTTTATTCAAGAGTCAAAAATACAATGTAACGAAAGAGAGATGGCTGAAAGAGAGATGGAATACTCTGAATCTTTTTCAAATTCAAGAATTCAATATCAAAATAGATTTTAAGTTAGGCTGCAAATAACGAATTTTGGTGCATTATAAGTTTGCTATAATATATATTTTGTTGTTAAGGGTAATGAAGCTAAATTTACGGTTTATGTTGTGAGCCTTCACGGCCTCTATTTTGTACCGCATTTCTTAGTACCTGTAAGGCGATTAGTTTTGTCCTAAAATCTGCAGCTAGAATAACTATGCATGAAGAGATCTGTTTGCTATATCTACATTTTATTAAGCAGTTACTGAATACGGCTACTAACTAATCTGCTCATTCATCCAAAAATGCTCCGAGTTTTAGACCTTCAGAATAACGAATGGATATATTTAATCCATGCTTTTTTCTAGGTTTTTTGAAATAACATTTTTCCCATTATCACACCTTGCCGTTTGCCCTCGCTGTGACCTGCCGAAGCTTTTAGACTGGCGGGCGACAACGATACCAATCCGCCATCTCGGAATCTGTGTATCCACAGTACAGACGAGCGTTATATCATAATTAAAGGAAAATTTAATGCATACATATATATATATAACACTAAAGTTATCCAAAGTCTGTCGTAGAACTGCTACTGCTATCTTTATGGGATCCGCAAAATATAAATGTTTAATGGTAAGCACGGAATTAAGTAGACATAAAAAAACTTCAACTGGGTAAGTAAAAGTAAGATCGCAACACAATAGTATAACAATAAATATAATCGACAAAAAGCAGAGTTATAATAGAGTGTTTATGGTAAATAGCAAATGAAATAGTTCTCTTTGAGGCAGCAAAACGCCATTACATGGTACTATATCTTTAATGCAATAATCACTTCTAAGAAGAAAATATTGGCAGACCTATTTTTTACATGATCTTGCTACAAATATCTAAATTATTATTATTATTATTATGCTAAATTTATTTTAATTTGAAATGAAGCGGAGGCCACATTTTTTTCGTCCGTAGCGTTCTTGACTTCTATAGGCTTCTATTTTTCACTGCCTAACTCTTGCCAAAAGCTATCGCTTTACTGAAACCTGTTCGAAAAGCAGAGGAAGCGATTCAATAGGCACACGTTTTGTAGAGGAAAACCGGGGTTGGTTACATACGCGTGTACAAATGTGTCAGATCATGTGCGTTCAATGATTAACGCGCCATGACAAATGTACATGTCTTCGGCGATAGCTTAAAAATCTCTATAATTGAATTGATACAGCCCGTGAATGTGTGTAAACACGAGTGTAGCCTCCCAGTGGGACACTTTTGGGGGCGCAACCAGCTCCGAACAAGGTTAGGTCGCCCAGCCAGAATCGACCTTCCTGTCCGCATTGGAGGTCTTCCAGAATCACCCTGGGTAGATGTCGCACGAAACAAATCAGTACTCAGCCCTCTACTTCCAAGTGTCACAAGAAGATACGGCTAGTAAATGGAACTATGTACTATTTGGTACTTTTTACGCAAACATATATATATATTGCTAATCTATGTTGTATTATTACGTATTGAAACAATAGTGGGCGTACATTTGACAAGTGGAGAAGTAGTGAGAAATATACATTTGGTAGAGTGAATATTTTAGAGTAACTTAATTAGAATACCTGTGAACCCGTGTCCCTTCTGTCAGAGCCGCTAACGAGCTTCCCCAGTGTGTCTTCAAATCTCATTTTCTGGCAAACGCTTTCTATTTACAAATGCCCATATAGCTTATTACCCTTCTGTAATTGTAAACAGTGAATTTATCTGGCAAATATCTTTTTTGTCCTGCGCAAGGTCCTCCGCTCAGAATTGCACTGCAGTACTGACGTATATATACGAACGGAATATACAGACTCACAGCTATCGTTAGTACTTCGAATAATGTGTACTTCCGATAGTTTTCCGATAGTCCGGGGAGAGACCTGAAGGCATCAAGACACACGATTTAAGCACAATTCAGTCATATAGGCTAAGTTGTAGATAAATCATATCCACTATCTACAGCACTTAAAGTTACTCGTGTATGTTGTTTCTAAATAATCCAACAAATATCTATCGCGCTAGCAACAAGTGTGCCCTTAGAATATGGGCGTCAGCAGTGAAGATGGTGTTCCTGTACGTCGTAATACAAGCACAAGTGACTACCGAAAAATAGACATCTCGATAGAATAGAAAGACCACTATTTAAATTCGCGTACATCAAAATTACTAACCTGACTTCTAATGCTACTCCCACAGCGGCTTAGAGTCTAAAACGTCTTTAAATCGTTCAAATGCTGAGTGTCTTCTTAGCTATGCTCTCTAGCGATTAGGCATTACGGGCCTATATGTTTACTGCACGGCAGACGGCCAAATCAAATCAAGGCTTCAGCTATTGTCGATATCACACCGTTTTTACGCTCTCCCAAATGAGATCGAACGGCTTAAGGTTTCATGGCCTCCACTGCTATGATGCGCTGACTGCTCATAAAGGTTGGCGTTAACGAGTGCGAAAGGCTCTGGTTCAAATACCAGCGACTTCTCTACCAGTGGCCTTAGTCGGATCGACTCGAATACATCACAAGTATGAAGCGAATTCTCTAGCGTTTTTCGATAGCTCTTTCGCACGCAGCGTTTTAGGTTCCGAACGAGACGGTTGATCATCGCGTTTGAAACAGATATAGTTAAATTTGTCCAACGTAGTGAAGGCCACAAGAACGATACGACGCTAACTGTTGGTGATGGGAATTACTTGAATAGCATGATTCTGCCACACTTTCCTGTATGGCGATTTTAGCGATGCAGTAGATCATGGGACTGGAATCCTCGAGCTGCAATTAAGGTAGCACACAAGGTGTTATAGGGCAGTAAATAAGATAAGCATTGTCATGATTATATGCTTAAACTTTACGTTGTCGTCGGCTGGAAATGTTGACAGCCTGAAAAGAACGCAAGCAAAGATAAGAAGCTTTATGAATTGAATGTAATTTAAGTATTCGTAGGCGAAATCTGAATGGATATTCCCGACAGCTATTGATTCTACAAGAAATGAAAAACTTTATCGGTAACGATAGGGTAGGTGATACAATATGCACGGGAAATTTATGTTCGGTTAATGTTTGAAGCTAGCTTAGTAGAATAGTTTCGTTACCGCAAACTCTAGACGGAACGTAGTTCTTGCAGTACTATAACTTCCTTAGTCTCTCTTAACTCTAGTACTTCGTATCGCAGAATCTCGCTCGTTTGCCAATAAACCTATTTACGCTACCCTTCCTATATGGCTATTAAAACAAAATTAAGACACTGACTCACCATCGCACATCTGAACATGACATCTTTACATGTTCTCAATGTTAAACAGGCTGCTACATCTATATTAACTACATGTTTTAATACAGATGTGTCTGTGAATGGAACGATGTTTCATTGCGACATATTTAAAAGCCAACCGAAGCGAGATTGTGCTGTTTACTGTGCAGCCGATTGCTTTGGAGCAAAAAGCATTTTACAGGTTTTTTTTGTCCTACTTCAAGTAGCATAGTACTTACGTAACACTATGTTTATTTGTTATTTGAGGTTACATTCCTCATCTTTCGTTCTGTAGCTTTCGGAAGACTTCTAATCCGTTTGCTGTGTACATGTACAGGTGCATGAAGGTCCGCAGCGGCATCATCGTTTCGATACGTTTCAAGCTTACGTCGACGACGTTGTCGAGCGACTCACTTTTAGGTATCTGGCAGGTATTTGTGCCCATGATCACAACGTAGAGGTTATGTAAGCAACACGAAAACCGAGTAGCAGTCAACTCACAGCTTTCCCGATGCCAGACCCGGAATACTTCACATAACTTTATCACACTATGAATATGTGTATATGACGATGGACCTTTTTGCGTAACTCATAATAACTTATTGTCATGACAAATGTTTGCTGCACGTCCAAATCTCAAAGCCGTATATTAACGATTGCTTTCCTAGTAATTCACAACTAGCCAGCAGTGGAAATAGCTAGCTAAGTAAAATCTCAGTCGTGTTATATTCTTTTTTGTAAACTTAACAAGTTAGATCGGTCATGCGGGGCGAAACAGTAAACCGCTATGAGTACATGCAGGTTGAATAGACCCGCCACCGGTAAATGCCCGCTATCTACAATTGAATCCGCATTGACAGCGCGAGAGTCCCGAGTGAATTTCTGGCCACGATCTGGAACGATGATGTATTAAACATCTCGATAACATTCGTTACGTGACTATTACAGTCGGTGCTTCTGCGAAAAGCTTTCGTTTGCCTGCTCCACAAAACTAAGTCGATCTATTGTCTAAACATAGATATACTTAAAGTCGTGCAGGACGGCCATTATTCTGTCATATATAGACAGTTGATGTAAGGACAGCATCTTGTTGTGCCAATGTGATTTAAAGTTGACGAGGTCTACGGAAGACGACCTGTGTTTGCTCGCCTGCTCTATTCTCGCTATTGTCTTAAACGTAAGAAGATAGCTTAATTAGCCCCTGATGGTATCTCGGTGCTTGTGATTTATCTTCCTTCCCTACTGTTAGACATTCGCGGAGCATGTGCACGTCAGAACAATTGGAAAAGCGATTTCCAAGTTTTCAATAAAGAGTCGAGCATACGGATTCGACATTATACAGCTATACACTTTAACTTTAACCTTTGTCAGTGATAACTTGTGAAGAATCATGCTACCTGTCTATCACTATCATACTTTTACAAGCATAGTTAGGGGAGCGTTACTAAGAGAAGTGCACATATAAACGGTATAGAACTGGGTAGAGTATGTGGGTTCAAGGCATGCCACTAATTTTTTTCACGAATTTTTCTCGGTCAATACAACGAGTACGTTACAAATTGCTCGTTAGAACGCTAAGCTCCCATTTCTTTTTTTTAAAGTTACCTTCGCAGCAACTATCTACGGTTAATATTTTGCCAAGTTGAATCAAGCCAATACCCTGCGCGTCTAGTTGGCTCTCGAGCACCGAGATACATATCTATTGTATGATATGAAGACTATCTAGAGATACAAACCGCGTCTGTTTTCGCGAGGTTTATAGTGATGTTCGTGTCTTATCAGGTGAGTATAACACTGATAGTAAACTGACGAAATGCTTTGTCTAAGTGCGAAAACACTACTAAATTGTCGGGGCCTGTTGACTTGCGTCTGAAAACTCAATACAAATATACTAAATGCTATAAATCACGATTCAATATTTGTTTTATGCCGCAAAAAATAGGCCACTACAAAATTATGTAAGAAGCATCAAAGTTACTATCCAGCCTAAAGAACAAATAGATGCTCAGCATTACATTATATGATAGCAATAATAGTAGTAATAGTTATAATGTTACTGATATCAAATCAACATAAGGAGCGAGCTTCCCAAATGCCATAAGAGACTTTTGTTCGGCTTTAGATAGCCTTTGCTATTGTCGGCTGATCTGAAATCGTTACTATAAGCAAGGGAGGTGAAGGCTTAAAGATAAGCCCCTGAGTTATGTTTACGGTTCTGAAAAAGTAAGCCTAGGGTTGGTGAAAAAAATTAGGCTCACAGTTGATGCGGGGGGCAGATAACAGGTAAGTTTGTAGATGTTTATGCAACAAACATATATCAAGCTAACCATTATTACAATGTGTTTATTATGCTGATTTGGCCACAAGGCCACTATCATTCTCAAATAATAATAATTCTTAGCATATATGTGCCCTGTTTCTGCTTCGATAATAAGTTTACTATTTCCGAAAGCATAAGCCTACTTTTTCTTTCCTGTATAATGAAAATGACAACATTTACTTGGAGCAGGAGGTCAAAGTTAAGTTTTGCACTGCTAAAACACTGGCTCTTTTTTCCTCATAACTTCGGTTAAAACTTATGCTATTATACGACCATATCTTTATATTTATTCTACCACTTAATACGTTACTAGACTGCAAATTTCACCATGGTGGTTTTCAATGATAAAATGTAAAATATTTTCAAGGTTCATTTGAACTGAATTGAATTCAAGGACCAACCATCGAGAGAAATGGTAAAAATAGAAAAATCCATGAATAATCGAAAACGTGACAGCTAACAAAATATTTATTAATTTACCCTTTATATACGTTCCTTTTATTCTATTTATGATCGAAGTAGGCGCTTTTTGAAAAATACTGTTCCTACATGGAACAGCGAGCTCAAGATAACATTTGATTTAAATAAAACAATAATATCTACTTTGAGAACAAAAAAGGTCGTCAGAACTGAAGGATTCTATAAGAGAGACAATATTTTCCCACTGTCTGAATGAATCGGACGCCCAATGAGCAGAAATGTTCGTTATAGCTTTCTTTCTTCCATATACTTGATGAACTGTACCCGGCTTGTACATCAAACTCCCTGGGGGAGACGGATTATTTGTTATCAATAAAATATGTGAACATACGACGCTACGAATAACCATAATCGATTTCTGAACTTTTCCCTATGAGAAAAAAGCTTTAATGCTGCATTTGCTTTAATGGTAGCCCTTATTTTATCAGCGAAATTATCTAATATTGATGTTTAAATAGAGAGATAAACGTGCTATTGTATTACATTTCTTACGGCTTATATAATAGTCTTATGCTTATTAAACCACAGTTTAAAAACGCGTAAATAGATTGCCTGTGGCAACTATTATTCTAGACATCGTAGGTTCTTATAGTAATTGATATGTTTATTTAATAAAATATACAAATGCTTCATTGGACTTGGATCTGTGGGTGATGGAACTAGGTCAGAAGCTATACCAGAATGGCATGAGAATGCCTTTTTCAGGCGCGCTTGATCGCAGATTCTGTAGAAGGTAATGCATATTGTAAGCTGCACTGCAAGCTATTAATGCGATGTTAATGCTGGCCTTTGAAGACTCGTTTTCCCCGAAGCCTTTCACGTTTCTTGTAAACCTCACTTGTATACTTTATAAAGCACTTTGATACCTGATCAAAAGTTTCCCTTGCTTGAAGCGGCGTTATTGCCATTGTTGTTGCTGTCGTTGCTCTCTAGTCAAACAGCATATGAAAAATAGAAGGAAAAATAGGCAAAGGCGATGCAGGAACCATGTGCCAACCGAAAAACTAACAAGTAACCCAAATAGTAATAGGTATAGTGAGGTTATGGTAAAAACTCGACCAGACTACCATAATCCATATGACGCAAAATGTTTTAATGGTCCTTTACCCAGCCACAGCCTGATCATGTGACTTGACGTTGTATATATCAAACATTTGACTGCTACCTCGAGATTATGAAAAATATGCTACTTTTTATTCAAACAGATTTTATATCGAATTTATACGTTGAAAATTACACCTAGTGTTTGTTGGTTTTGTCCAGTTGGACCCCAGTGAGTCTGCAACCGAAATTTCGAGCAAATTTCGAAAACCAACTGATCGTCCTTTAGGCCAAAATAAACGGCAACAAACCGCGGACTACCATTGGGTGTCCACTCAGAATAAAGCTACATTTACATTTGAAAAAAATATCCTTTAAAAGTGGGGCATGCTCATCAACTTAGAACGGTAGCTTCGCTGGAAGTGCTCTTGAGCATGATAAGTAGGACCAAATCAATAGCGATGCTTACGCTAGCAGCAGATACAGTAACAATTAACTCGTTTTTCGAAAAAATCGGTCTTCTGGGTCTGTTTTTTATCGCAATCTCATCGCAAACCCTAACATCAAATCTTATTTAAAAAATGGAAAAATTAAAAACTTTGGACATCTTTTTACGTATAAGACGACACCAGTACCTAACAGAAACAGCACAAAATTAGAAAATCGTGCGATTCGAACGTTGAAAGTTCAAACTGAATCCCTCAAGAAGGACTGGATTAAGTAATTTGATGTACAATTCGCGTACACAAATTGGAGCCCTAGAAATTAGAAAACAAATATCACACTAAAAGACCTAGGCAAACCTATCCAGTAAAACTGTTAAACTATAGAGTGGCATCATGGACATATCACTGCAGATAGAGGGGTTTCAGTTAAACATCGGCTTTAGACTTAACGTTCCCCTACGGGATTCGTAGAACACGTTAGAAGAGACAACACAGAAGTATAATAAATATATGTAAATGGCAGGACGAACGTGATGTGTCAATTATATTGGTCCAATTAAAGACTAGAACATGCCTGATTTAAATCTACATGTGGCTTATTTCGAAGATTGCGTTCGGGAGAATGTGCGCCAAGAGCAACTAATGTAAAAAATAGATAGCATATTACATGAAACGGAAAGTCAATATCATTGTATCCGGTTGTGAGGATCGAGGTCTTTCAACATATCTATATACAGCTGTACTACGTATTTAGGTTAGCGTAAATTGCGTAGCCAAAAAAAACACATGCTTATAGTCAATAGCGTACTAGCTAGTATTTATTACATTATGAAAGCAAGCCTACGAGTCGAAGATATTGCGAGATATTCCGAACACTCGAGCGAAAACGAGTACGTACGGAAAGCATGAATATGTTCAATTAACCTTATTTAGCTTTCAATTTAGATAAAATATATAT